GTTTAACTTAACATTTTCCAGAACCAATAATTTCGGTCATTCCGGTTGTGGAACATCAAAATATTTTATAAATCCAAGATTTGTTAATCACAGATCTCTAGGAGGCTCCAAAAGGACTCGACGGCTTTCAGTCGTTATTGTGGGTTTCCTTACTTCCAATTACCAATTTTTATGGAGTTGCTCGGGGTCTTGTGATAGTGCCAACACTGAACATCATCATTGAGAGCAGTTAACACGAAATCTTGTGTCATCGTCTTGCGGGGTAACTGGCCTTTCAATCCAAATAGTTGCTATATTTTACAGACCCATAAATCAGAAGAGACGGTCTCTGTCAACTCCTTCGCACCAAAATCCATTGGAAGATCTACTTCGGGAACACTCGTCATTCAATTGGGTAAATACACTATTGACAAATAGTCGTATATTTTACAGGACTAAAGTGGTTAAGAAACCCCACCGTCATTTCTCTGAACGAAAAGGACCTGATTTTTAACAACAAAGACGGTGCATCAGAAATTTTCGCGCAGTGTCCATATGGTAACTTTTCCTTACCTTCCAAAGTGGAATGATATTTTACAGAACTGACGGAATTGGGGAGAAAAAGCAAATCGTGTCTGCATCAATATCCTAACCCAACATGCACACTATGAGGATAGAGACAATCTACACTTCACCAGTGTCATGGTACGGTTGCGTTCTTCCATTTGGATATTTTGTTTCACAGAACCGAAGGAAATTCGAGTATCTGCATTTGTACCGCCCTCTGAAGCTCATTATCTCGAGTTCGTTTGTCGAAGATGATTTCGGCCCAAAGAATGGTAGAATAGAGTCCAACTCGCTACTAGGAACATCTAACGTGGTAACCTTTCCTTATCTTCCAAATGGGCTTGTATTTTACAGAACTGAACTTTTCTCTCGTTACGATTTTAAGAAGTTTTCGGCTTGATCTTCCCTTTAGAATAATTTGGAGAAGAAACCAACACCCAACATCCTGACCTTTTTGGTAACTACACTATATTTTGAAATAGTTGTATTTTACAGAAGCAAAAACTGTTAAAAACCGCAAGATTGCATGGTGGTAATTATAGTTTCACTTATAATCGAGAGCTCACGTACTCTGCAGTGATAGGTCAGTGTATAGTGAAAAGTTAGTAGGTATTTAAAGTTTCTTTGTCAAGCTGTCGTGGTACTTCTTCAGCATGTGCCATTTGTTTTTTAGAATTTCGGCTTTTATAACCAAAATCCTATTTGTTAATTCTAATTGTTTTACCATGTATATTACTTTGTTAAGTTTAGACCATAACCGCCAAACTAGAGCACACGAGGACACTTGAAGCTTCCACATAGGCTTTTCTAACCCATTGCAAGCACGTTTTACTTGCTTTCTTTGGAAAAGTGTTTTTAATTTTAAACTATATTTGTCACTAGTTTATATACTTTCCGTACAATCTATTGGATTTTTGCATGTATTTGGTATTGTTCAAAAGTAATTGTTCTATTCAATGTTTAATGTTACTTTAACATATATTTCTGGTTAAGGGTTTGCATGTAAGCCAACGAATTGTTTTCATAGTGGTTTTAAAATCTGAATGTTCTGTGAAAATTTCCTAATATTGTGGGACACGCTTTGTGAATATGCATGCTAGTTATCCGTGATTTGTGAAGTTCAAGAGTTGTGTTTCACTGGTGAGTTCATTTGTCCACTTTTACCAAATAAGGGCGTACTTAAGTCATCACTTCTAAACTGCTTTTGAAACGATCCAATTTTTCTTGGAATCATAGGAAGAAAAAATCAACTTTTACATCAAGTAAGTTGTTTTCATTTCTTGTTCATGTTTATTTAGTATCATCTTGCAGCTAGCTCATTTCGACTGATGTGGGAATGGTTTTTTCAAGCCTCCGCCTAGTCTTCATTGGAAGAGTTACGTCCCGTGCAATAGAAATGGAATTACAAATCTTAGGTTTGTATGCTCAACCAAATTTTTTTCATAGGATGTTTCAACAACTTAAATATCAGGTTAGTTGGCGCACATAATCTGGCACTGTGTTCCTAATGTTCATTTTTGATTGCAGCATTTGCATCAAAAATAAAATGCCAGTTCATTTGAACGAAGAGGAAACAATTCACTAAGGAAGAAGAAGAAAAGGATGTCGCAAGATGCTCAAGAAGAATGGAATGAAGATGATTGGCTGACATGAAGATCGTTTCAATTTAAATCTGATTGATTTGCGTAAATCTTTTGAATGCCGACTGCCCATTGGCTTTATTGTTAAATGGATTAGAACAACTGGATTACCTATGGGCAATGCTGATTTTGCTGTAGGAAGAGGAATCGACGTCGAGGGATTAGTTTCAAGGATGAAGAGGAATGGGCACATATTTGTCTGGGATGGAGACGATTTGATGAAACTGGATTGGAGAATGGTTTCCAAAGAAGAGGTCAATTGAGAAGAATGGAAGAAGATTCGACCCTAGTTTCCTGAAGAAGAGACAACATGGACTGGTAAGAAGTTCGACGGCGGAGATTTGACAAGGAAGAAGTGAGGTGACTGATGGAGTACAGAATTCGGCGTGGGACAGGACTACCAAATGGAAGATTCGACATGGGACGGCGTCGCTTAATGGAGAAGGGGATTTGGCGTGGGCCAGCAACCACCAAATGGAGAAGAGGATTTGACATGGGTCAACATCACCAAATGGAGAAGTTTCAACGTAGGGCTATCGCCAATTGGAGAAGAGAATTAATTTCGCATGGTTTTGCATAAACGACGAGAAGAGGATTGGATGTTGGGTAGCACCACCAAATGGAGAAGAGGATTGGACGTGAATCAGCACCGCCAGATGAAGAGGATTTGAATGGGCTAGCACCACCAAGTGGAGAAGAATGATGGACGTGAAACGGCACCACCAGATGGAGAAGAGGAACTAAATGTAAACGTTCTATGTGGGATAGAATTGCATGCCAAATGGAGAAGAGGAGATTAGCCAACGCCGACAAATGGAGAAGAGGATTCGACGCGGGACAGGACTGTAAAATGAAGAAGAAATTCCATGTGAGAGGATTGCCTGCCAAATGGAGAAGAGGATTCGATATGGCCCAGTGCCGCCAAATGGACATGAGGATTCAACGCGGGACAGCACCACCAAATGGAGAAATTCGACGCGAGAGTATTGCCAACCAAATGGAGAAGAGGATTCGATATGGGCCAGTGCCACCAAATGGAGAAGACGATTTGACATGGATCACCGCCGCCAAATGGAGAAGAGGATTCGACGCGGGACCACACCACCAAATGGATAAGTTCGACATGAGAGGAGATTGCCTACCAAATGGAGAAAAGGATACCACATGGATCAGTGCCACCAAATGGAGAAGCGAATTACACATGGACCAGTGGCGCCAAATTGAGAAGAGAATTCGAAATGCGCCAGCACTGCCAAATGAGGAAGAGGATTCGACGCGGGATAGCACCACCAAATGAAGAAGTTCAACGCGAGAGTATTGCCTACCAAATGGAGAAGAGGATTCGATATGGACCAGTGCCACCAAATGGAGAAGACGATTTGACATGGATCAGCGCCGCCAAATGGAGAAGATTCGACGCGGGACCGCGCCACCAAATGGAGAAGTTCGACATGAGAGGAGATTGTCTACCAAATGGAGAAAAGGATTCCACATGGACCAGTGCCACCAAATGGAGAAGACGATTTGACATGGATCAGCGCCGCCAAATGGAGAAGATTCGACGCGGGACCGCGCCACCAAATGGAGAAGTTCGACATGAGAGGAGATTGTCTACCAAATGGAGAAAAGGATTCCACATGGACCAGTGCCACCAAATGGAGAAGACGATTTGACATGGATCAGCGCCGCCAAATGGAGAAGATTCGACGCGGGACCGCGCCACCAAATGGAGGGAGAAAAATTCTACATGGTGGACCAGTGCGCCAAAATTGGAGAGGGATTTCACATGGCGTCACCGCACCAAATGGAGAAGAGGATTCCACACCACCAAATGGAGGAGAGAATTCTATATGGAGGACCAGTTCGCCAAATGGAGAGAGGATTCGACTGCGTCAGCGGCCACCAAATGGAGAAGAGGATTCCCACCACGGGACCGCACCTCACCAAAATGGAGAAGAATTCTATATGGAGGACCAGTTTCGCCAAATGGAGAAGAGGATTCGACATGCGTCAGCGCCACCAAATGGAGAAGAGGGACTCGACGCGGGACCGCACCAACCAAATGGAGAAGAGAATTCCATATGGACCAGTGCCGCCAAATGGAGGAGAGGATTCGACATGCGCCAGCGCCACCAAATGGAGAAGAGGACTCGACGCGGGACCGCACCAACCAAATGGAGAAGAGAATTCCATATGGACCAGTGCCGCCAAATGGAGAAGAGGATTCGACATGCGTTAGCGCCACCAAATGGAGAAGAGGATTCGACATGCGTCAGCGCGCCAAATGAAGAAGAGTATTCAACGCGGGACAGCACCACCAGAAGAGGATTCATTATGGACTACTGTCGCCAAATGGAAAAGACGATTTGTCATGGATCAGCGCCGTCACATGGGGAAGAAGATTCGACGCGGGACAGTACGTACTACCAAATGGTGAAGTTCGACGAGAAAAGATTGCCTAAATACAAGGCAGTGCCACCAAATGGAACCATTTGACATGGATCAGCGCCGCCAAATGGGAAAGAGAATTTAACATGAGAGAGAGGATTGCCTACCAAATGGTGAAGAGGTGTCTCGACATTAGCCAACATCGACCAAGTGGAGTAGCTTTTGACAGAACTATGGTAGAAAGAATGAGAATGGAAAACTGAGTTTTATGGGCCAGCACCATCAAATGGAGAAGAGAATTAATTTGGCATGGTTGCATACAATTTGTTTTTACTACTGTAGAAAAAAAATGGGAGAAGTAAAGGACTTGACGCGAGATAAAATGGAGAAAATCCAGATGCGAAACAAAACCACCAAATGGAAGAGAAAATTTTGGAATGGATAGTATGCTGAACACGCGACTGTTGGAGACCGCTTTCCTCGCGATAGATTTATTGCTTAATGTTAATTGGCTTGTTTTGTATAACTATTTTTTTTTAATTTACACCTATTTAGAATGTTTTATGAAATTGCTCAAGTATTTTCATTTTTGTATGTTATGTAGTGAATTGAAGTAATTAAGTATGAAACTTTCCAATTAACATTTGGATTGCTTTTTGAATTTGAAATAAATAATCTCAATCTGGCTCTTTTTCATATTGTGGAGTGACTTTCTGTAAATAAAATTGCTAAAGTTTGGTATTCATGTTTAATTGGCAGGCAGGTCATACATTGATGCGAAATAACACTAAAAAGACATTTGGATAAAGTGACTTTACAAAATCACAATTTAGCTACATGCATACTACAAGACTTGGAAATTCAAGCTCAAATTACACAAGTATGATTGATTATTATTTATGGAATTTAATTGAAAGCCCCAAGACAGATTTAATCCGCTTGCTTAATAAAATGCGATCAAAAATGAGTTGCTGTCGAGTCGCCTTTGGAATTTTTGTTTGCATGGGAATTCGTATTTAACTTGAACTTCCAAAGGCGACTCGACAGGAACTCATTTTTGATCGCCCGTTATGTAAAAAGCTGGCTAAGATCACATCGATGATTAGTGGATGAACGCATCAAAAAGAAAAAGAGTGCAATACATGAACTGTTTTCTCGCGACGCAGCGGTTTAATTAGCTCGCTTGGAGGCGCGACGTGCAGCGGCAAAATGTTGCTTCCAAAAGTTCTCATTCTTCATCTTTTCAAGTGCATCAGTATTCACTCGCACGCAGTGTCCTACGTGAGCGGTAACACGCGGTTGTCGCGACTATATCAAAGCATGATAGTTTATCCTGCTGTGCCGCCTCAAAAACACTGCACAGCAGGTTAAAATATTTGATATTTCCGCGTCTGCCCCTTCAGTCGAACATGTGTCTGCACTACTTTATGAACTGGTCGCGTTTGCCGTTTAAAATAAAAAAAAAGAATCAAGAGAACGTAAAACCATAAAAAGTTTCTAGTAATTTACATTGTTTGGTACAATGGCCCGTATGAATAAAAGTAAGCAAATGCTCATACTTGCAAAATTCAAACAGCGCTTCTAAGCAGAAGGACGACGCATTGTCTAAAATCTTTTGGCAACACTGCACTGTCATGGCAGATTATGTTACAGTATCGTTTGCCGCTATTTTGGCGTTCCTAAATTTTATCAAGGGAATAGTGATTTTGCTTAGAAGGTAAGTGCACAAAAGAGTGTTTATATCGTTTTTAATTCATTATAAATCCTACTTCTTGCGTTTATTTTATTTTGAGACTATGAAATTAGATAATCTTTAATGGAAATACGATTCTAACCTATAAATTTGAAAATATTTGGGGGGTCAGCTTTAGGAACAAAATAAAATGCATTGATCTAGTAGATAACACTTGGGTCATCTATAGGAGCAAACGAATAAATATATATACATGTCTTATTTTAATGTGTTTAACCTAATATTTGTATCTCTGTTTAAAAAATAGCTATAAATAGATAATGTCCTATAGGTGACCCCTGTGTCACCTTTACGTACAATACAGATGCAATGCCTGACCCCTCAATATAATTTTTAATTCCATGGAAAAAAACATCTTAAGTACCTACTTGTACTTAGTTTGATTAGATATAAAGTCAATTTTAATTTTTCACAGATGGCCACCAAAAAAATTTTGGGGTATCCAGAAAGCTCTATGACAAATGCTCTTAATTAGTGCAGTTAGAAGTGGTATGCCTGTTAAGACAGCATCAAAGACATTCAAGGTTCCCAAAACGACATTACTTTATAAATTTAAGGGTATTAATCCGGAGTCTAGAAAAATGGGGCCTGCTACAATTTTTTCAAAAACTGAAGAGGATCTTCTTGTTACGTGGATAACATCTATGGCAAAAAGTGGGTTCCCGATTTCCAAAGACATTTTTTTATCCAGTGCTTCGAAACTAGCCAAAGAGCTTAAAAAAAACTTCAAAAATAACATGCCCGGCCGAAAGTGGTACGAAGGATTTTTACGTCGACATCCCGAACTAAGGCTTAGGCCGGTTGTACAAGTATAGCTTAAGCAGAGTTTAAGAATTAAGCTGAGTTTAAACACAGTTCAATTTTTTAGAGTGTTGTACATACTTCACTCAACAACTAAACGCAACTTAAGTTTTGTTTTATTTAAGCAGCCGATTTTGTTGGTTTAAGCTTAGTTTTGGTTCTTTGCGCATAGTCACCGATTTGTTAGTTTTGTTAGGTTATAATTTTATGTAATACCTGTTACCATTGATTAACATAATCAATGCTGTTACCCTCCAAATTGTAATGGAGTTGCATGCACTAACAGATGATGAAGATTTCCTAGAAGTAATTAATATAATTGGACGCAGAAGAGCAGCAAAGATATATAGGCACCGAGATAACCACTTTACAAAGTGGAATGATAAGGAATTTTTAAATAGATTTAGGTTATCCAAAGATTCAGTTCGTTTTGTAATTGATTTAATACAAGAAGAAATATCACATCCCACAAACAGGTATAAAAACGACCCTATAGTGTAGCTACCACCCAACCACATCGTATAATTTCGTTACAGAAACTTTGCAGTAAGTGCCGAGTGTATGGTATTATTGGCACTAAGGTATTTAGCAACTGGCTGCTTTTTGTCAGTTGCAGGCGACTTTATTGGCATCGATAAATCTACTGCAAGCAGACTTACTACAAAAGTCTGTCGAGCCATTGCCAGTCAACACCGCATTTTTATCAAAATGCCTACCACAGAGGAAGAAATGAGAGAAAGAAGTAGAGGCTTTTACATGATTAGTCGTTTCCCCAAATGCATTGGTGCTATTGACTGTACCCATGTGAAGATTATATCCCCCGGTAACAATGCTGAGATTTTTCGAAATCGGAAAAATTTTTTTTCTTATAATGTGCAAGCTGTTTGTGATGCAAGCCTGAGGATTCAAAATATTGTATGCAGATGGCCTGGGTCATCTCATGATAGCACAATATTTTTACATTCTCAAATAAGAAATCAATTTGAGAATGGAGACTTTAGAGGGTACTTATTAGTTGGAGATGCAGGATATGCTATTAAGCCGTATTTAATTACTCCTCTAAGAAATCCGATCACTCGTACTGAAAATTTATTCAATGAATCCCAAATACGCACACGTAACCCAATAGAACGGTGCTTTGGTGTGATGAAACGCCGATTTCCCATATTGTCATTTGGGATTCGACAACGCGCAGAAAAGGTCGAGGCTATAGTAATTGCAACTGCAGTATTACATAATATAGCTAGGAACTTTAATGATGCACTGCCAGACATAAATGAGGAAGAACAAGAAGCTATTGCAGCTGCTGAAATAAATTTCGAAGTGGAAAATGTTCCATATTACAACAATGGACTAAATAATGCTGTACGTCATCACCTTATTCACGAATACTTTAATCGCTTAGCATAGTGTACAGTGTATATTACGAACAAACTTATTGTTTAACATTTTTTAATAACATATCTTTTTGTAACTTCAAAATTTCCATTTTTAATTTGTGTTCTTCTTTCATACATTCTAGTTCGAACTCAGATTTTGTCTTTTTTATTTCTAAATTTAACTTATGTTCCTCTTCCGTATGTTTTAATTTTACTTTTTGTTCTTCCAAAACACCTTCCATTCTACTCTCTTCCAGTTTTGTTTTAGCCTCTGCCCACTGCGAAATCTTCTTGTTAATAACACCCTGGGATGTATCTAAAATTTTAAAATAATTAGTATTTATAGTACATTTCTGAAAGTGATTTTACCAGTGGTGTTTACACAAAGCGCAGCTGATTTTTTTCTTTTAAGCATATTAGGTGTGTACTTTTTCCAGTTTTTATCACCTACAAATTCAGAAGGAACTTAGATTTAATACTTTATGACCAGTACCGTATACTACCATTATTTTCGATATCATCTGTTGCAGATGGTTTTACGGTCGAACTGTAGTCGTGATCGTTAGCAAACTCTACTATCATCTCTGTAACGAAACAATATTGAACCACACACACACTTGGAAGTCCTTATTTACCATTACTAACTTGCAGGTCGTCTGTTTCTGGTATTTCAATTTCAACTGGAAGTAGTAAAATGTATGTAAATTGTTTATAATGTACACATTTTTTACTTACTAGCATCCCCATCAAATTGTGATTGAAATCCCTCTGCTCTTGGGCCAAGTATATCTTTAATGCCCTCTTCGGTGTCATTTAATGGGGTGTCTTTGTAAGGACCACCCCCAGTTCCCATTGAATACGTTTTATTTTCAGACAGTTTCTTTTTCACCCTTTTCTTTAGATTTTCGAACTTCTTTTTTAACACAGCTTCACTACGGTGGCTGTCGTTTACTACATTGAACTCCCGAGCAACATTTGACCAGGCTTCGGTCTTTTGTTGGTTCGTAACCGCATCTGTTTTTTTGCACTCTAAGACATGTTCATATTGTTTTACTAAACTGGTTAATATTGCCTCTTCTTTCGCGGTAAAATTGGCTGCACGCACTTTTTTTTCGTTAGAGCACATCGTTATAAATAAACTAGTATTGATTGAAGGTTAAGTTTATTCACAACAAATATCCAATTAATTCTTTATGCGCATGTTTGCACGTTGCCAACAACAGAAAATTGTGGTTTTGGTAAACGAAGTTTGAACGCAGTTTGTACAACGAGGTTAAACGAAAACTACGCTCAAAACTTGGGCGTAGTTTAGTTAAACCATCCCTGAACTTCACACTTGTACAACCGGCCCTTAGAACGCCTCAAAATTGAACCACGAGTAGAGCTTCTGTAAAAAAATACAAATTAGAAGATGGTTTATTGAAGTCTACGAGTTTTTAGAAACTGCTGGCTTAACAACTGTCTTACAAGATCCCACTCGTATCTTTAATGCCGATGAGTCGGCGTTTTTTTTTAAATCCAAAAGGAAATAAAGTTTTAACATTAAGAGGTGATAAGACAGTTTATGCAACTGTAAATAGCAATGAAAAGGAGTGTCTTACTGTACTTTTAAATGGAAATGCCGCGGGAACTTTGGCTCCACCAATGATAATTTTTCGATATAAAAGAATTCCTTCCGACCTCTCTGCTAGCGTACCAAGGCATTGGGGAATAGGAGTTTCCGAAAATGGGTGGATGACCTCAGATACTTTTTATAGTTATATAGCAAACGTCTTTTATCCTTGGGCTAGAGAAAATATTTCATTTCCCATAATATTTTTCGTAGACGGACATTCCTCACACTTATCGTACCACCTTAGCAAATTCTGTTGAGAAAATGAAATAATTTTGGTGGCTTTGTATCCAAATGCTACACATTTGTTACAACCAATGGATGTAGCTGTGTTTCGTACTTTGAAGTCTGGATGGAAAGAGCAAGTCAGCGCATGGAGGCTTCAAAATCAACATGAACCATTAAGACGACGAGATTTTGCTCCCCTATTAGATGCTGCTATTAAAGATCGGGTAATTCCAAAGATCCTTCAAAATGGATTTAAGAAATGTGGACTCTTTCCACGGGATGCCGAAGTAATGAGCAATTTTTTTCCAGAAAATGATGATCGATCTAATTCACCTAAACAATCTGAAGACATCGTGCAAACGGATAACATAGACAGACTTGCATTTATGGAATCTTTTATAGACCAAGAAACACTTAATAGTTTTCAAGAGCACCTACCTGAAGAACTAGTGGAGTGGTCGAATAGAAGATAAATCGTTGTTTGAAATTTGGAAGAAAATGAAACAAAGTTGCGGATTAGTTACCTACAAAAACTATTGAAAACATGATAGAAGAGGCAGAAATTGTTTTTGAAGACGACATTAATTATTGAACTAATAAATGAAAATAATATTAGAAATCCTGTTTGCAATAATGAAACAATTGATAGTACCATCTTAACTGCTGAAAACCCAAATATCACTACCATAACACACCCATTCCCGTCTAAAATAACTTCACCTTCACTTTGTCCTGATGCTGATAATGACAACGTTCAGCTGCACGATTCTTTTAAAAATACCTCCCAAGTACCCGAACTGAATGTAAATCAACCACCACTGGATTCCAAAAATAAAATTAATATTTTAGATGTACAAATTATAACGCCTATAAAACCCAACCTGACATTGTTAGAACACCGATCGCCAATGAAGTGTTCCGAGAAATTAGACAACACCAAAACTGGACCAATAGTTCCCAGTCCTTTTAAGCGAGCGCTTTTCTGGCCCGAGTCAACACCCGCGACAGATAAGAAAACTAAAGAAAAAATACCCAGTGTTGTAACAAGTCAAATGTGGCAGGAATATAGCAAAAAAAAAGTGAGAAAAAAAGCCAAAATGGAAGCTGATAAACTGGAACAAAAAAGAAAACTAGAGGCTAAGAAAAAAGACAATAACAAAGTCAAAAAAAAAGTTGTGGTGAATACACAAAAGGAAATGGACAAATCCGAATCAACCGATGAGGATAATGTGCCTTTAAGCCAAATAAGAGGAAATTTAAGGGTGGGAAAACCAAAACCTTTGGATTACGTGGTTGTCAAGTACGACGGAAAATACTTTCCGGGTAAAGTTATTGAAACTCGGAATGAAGAGTATTTTGTTTCCGCAATGGTCCAATGTGGAAGAAGAGGATGGCGCTGGCCTGATATTGAAGACCAAATCTGGTACGATGAACAAGACGTAGTAATGATTATAGAACCACCTAAGCCGAAAAACTCTAGAGGTATCTTTTTCGTAGAAGAAATGAAAAACTTTACTGAATTCACAGAAAATTAATTATTTTCCTTAACGTTAAAATTATATAATAAAAAATTAAGTACGTTTTTCACAAAACCGAGTTTTTGTTATTTTAAATAAATTATTTTTGCAGCTACAACAAAGAGCAAAGGGGGGTCAGGTACCGAAAAAGGTCATCATTAGGGACTTTTTAAGGGAAACTATAATGTCTTAAAACCCAACGGTATATAGTTTGTCTCATAAATGATTTTTATCAGAACTACATTGACTAATCAATCTTAAAGTGTCCGCTTTTGGTGCATCTACCTTACTTGCAAAATTCAAAGTAAATACTCGTAAGTGCCCTTTTATACTGGTTTGTTTAGCAGCGCTGCACTGCGTCCTGTCCTTCTGCTTAAAAGCGCTGCTAAGTCGCCCAGTGCGAAGGAGCACTTACGAGTATTTACTTTGAAAGCATTTACTTATTTTTATTCATACGGGCCATTGTATCCTGTTATTACTGAGGTAGATTTGATTTCTAAACAGTTACCAAAAATAGACCTCTATGACGAATGCCAACGGTCTTACGCCAATTATGTCAATGAGAACAATTTATCACTTAGATCTTAAACATCGTCAGTTACCGATATGCGCTCTAACATCGTGCTTCTACTGGTTTTGGTCTTTAACTATGCAGACTGTGTATTTTTCGACAACTTCACCTTCGACCACATGATCCCGATTGGTACGTGCGTTCTCCGAGTTGCATACAGTACAATTCTCCGATTTCAGCAAGTGGTAAGGTGCAGTTGTGGAACGAGACCGATCAAGACAAGCTGAAGAAGGACCTCTTCGTCAATTATGACAGGTTTTCGCGTCCCACAGAGCACTTCAACACGACGAAGGTGAATTTTGGCGTGAGTATTTTACACCTCGAGACTGACGAACGGAGATCTACAGTAACTATTCACGCCTGGATGCGGATGGTAAGTATAATAGTTTGAACGCAGTTGATTTTCGCCATTTCAGGTCTGGTACGATCAAAAATTGAAATGGAAGGAGGAAGATTACGGGAACATTTCCGTTTTAAGAATAGCAGACCACGAGTTGTGGCATCCCGACCTCTATCTCTACAACAGGTGAGATGTTCTAGGCAATTCGTACCTACCACTTTCGGGTAGTGCTTCAGGTGGCGAACCTCTGCTTCGTTTCGGATTGTCGCACGCACTGGTCTACCCGAACGGGGAGGTTCTACACGTGCCGCCTTTGAAACAGACCGTTCTCTGCGAGTTTGACTTACGTAACTGGCCGTTTGATACTCAGTCTTGCGAGCTGAAGTATGGGTCTTGGGTGCACCACGGTCAAGAAATCGAGCTAGGGCTTTACAACAACGAGGCACATATTGACGTGAGTGTAACGCCTAATGCAACCGAAATATTCATCTGAATCTTCAGTTAAGCGATCTCCTTCTGCACAACTCTTGGAAGATTACCGATACAAGCGCAGCGATTGCTTCGACAAAGTACGTTTGCTGCCCTGAGGCTTACTACGACATCAAATTTACGTTTAGGATGGCAAGGAACCCGAACCCCTACAGCTCGGTGGTCATAGCACCATCTGTCGGTTGAGTACATTTGGATGAGTCAAGAGCTCCATGGTAACTAGCACACTTTTAGTGAACGCCCTTCTGGTGCTGGCGCAATTTTCGTTACCAAACGGAAGTAAACAGAGAATGTACCTCAACGGGTTCCTGCTCTTGATTTTGGCCTCTTACCTCCTGTACTTTTTGTGCCTTTTCAGTGGAACGGGGAGAGGGGCACCTTTAATTGGTGAGTTGATGGGAAGCGTTTGGTTAGGGTAACGTCTTGGGTTACAGTTCAATTTTACGCGTTTAGTTTGTACACTGTTTGTTTCGGGTTACTTTCTGAAACGACAGTCACTGTCATCTCGAGGAGCAAAAAGTTGAAAGTTATAGAGTCCACGGCTCGCAAAGTCTTTGGTGGAATTGTTGCTAGAGTCCTGCTCATTGAGAGTGATGTATGCTTCATTCAGTTATTTGAGCGCTGATAGTTGATTGTAGGTGCCACCGGTTGACAAGGAAGCTTTAATGCGAAATGACCTCGATGACGTGGATCACGAGGAAATCAAGCTTGGCGAGTATGCGGTTCGGAATGTACCATTCCTTAGCGTACTCGTCAGCAGATTATTTTTCATCTTATATTTAAGCGCGATAGTAGGAATTGGACTGCAATTCAGACTTCATTGAGTCTACAACAGAGTCTAAAAAGTGTTAATATTTTTAGTTTCATTCTTCATTGTGTTGTAGCTTTAAGAAACAGAAAAGAACCGCAAATTTTGAGAGTTACTAGATGTTTTTTTTTCGCTCTATTACTCAATCTCTTGTGTTTCACTATGCTGAATAACGAACTAGAGTGGTCGATGGAGGCTCGCTCCGTTATTATTAATGATCCTCAGATCCTTTATAGTTTTGTATTGTCGTCCGTCCGTGCGCTATAACTCTTTTTCAAAGTGGCCGATTGTGTTGAAATTTGATGTACGGGCAATTTGGACATTAAGAACGGGCGCTATTGATTGCCAGGATGCTAGTTCAACAGGAACAAAATTATAGGACTTTGAGTGAACCGGGAACAGAAAAAACTGCGCGCTCAATTTGATAGAAATTAACATATTTCATTCCTCATCCTTATATTTTAAAAAATTTATCGCACCAGCGCTTAACAATTTTGGAGAAGACTCCGTCCGCACTGGGAGCCCTGTTATTACTTGAGGTTCGGGAGATTCTAATTTTATTTAATGGTGGCGAATTAGGTGATTTAATTATCCTCGTACTTTTGGAATTGCAGATACAGTTACAGTTTCATTAATCCGTTCACCTAATGCGCTTTTATGTAGAATAACATGAGCGTTTAGTTCCACTAAATAATTTTCTGCACAAGGTACTTTATAACAGTAGGCATTTTTAACTTGTGCGTTCATTTTGGTTGTCACTGCTCAGTATACTTACACCTTAGATCGAAGATGTATAAAGTACTAATAATTTTAACTTTACATGCAAAATGTATGTGTGAATGGATCGAAATTCCTCAGCAGATAGTTATGAGCCAGGGTGCTACTAGAAAGATGGGTAAGCTTTTAAAAACGATTATTATCCGAAAGTTCTCCCTTAAATTGTTGTAGATTATGCTATATCAATTTTTACAACGACATCTACTACAACCCAAAGGCCGATATTTCCCAAGCCCTTTATTGCTAAACCCACCCAAAAAACAAATTTAAGTAATCACCGACATAATTATAACGATAGTAGCACCAGTAATAAATCGCCAGATACCGAAGTTGTACCAACAACGGTTACTGTTTCTTTTCGCGAAAACCAAAGAGGTACCAAGAAAAGGAAAACCACGACTAGCACAAAACCCAAAATTGTTTCCAATGTGACTAATTCAGGGTTAACTGAGGACACATTTTTGAATCCCAATTTATTGGCACACCGTAGTGGATTTGACGACTTAATACAAAATGACGAATACAGTTACACCAGCTTTATTCCCTATTTAAGCAGAGTTCAATACGATTTAATGAAAAACGCGCATAAAAACAAAGAGAGCAAATGGAACGTCCTCCAAAATTTACGAGATCATCTGCTAATTGAAATCGGTAAGTGCACTATAGTAACAATAATTAAAGCTAATGAATCGATTATTGGTTATTTAGAAAAACGAATTTCACAAATTGGTACGAAAAAGGCAGAGGGAAGAGGGGCAAGAGATTTTAAAGATCATGATTCCCACGTCGACTTTCCATCAAATGAGAGTGCATTAATTACAATTGGGTTTTTAACATTCGCTGTGTTCTTAATTAAAATTGTCATGGTGAGTTCAATAAACTATCGAACAGAAAATAAAATTAATCAAATTCCAATTTTAGCATCTTATTCAAACTCTAGGAACAACCACCACAACGACTTCTGGAAGAAAACGTCGAGAGGTTATTGATAATGATGATGTTTTAAGAATATTGCAACACGTCGAGCAATTTACATTAAAATGATTTTAAACACATTTTGTTTTACTTATTTTTATAAATGTTTCCCCGTTACTTTTTAGGGCTTTTCGTAAAACGCGTATTGCGTTTGGCTGCTTTCATATAATATACTTACGGGCGAACGAGCTGACGCACTAGCTAGAATCTAGATAAATAGAAATCGCACTATGAAATATGATCTTTTTGGATTTTACCGAAACCACAGATATACCGTATACCTATCTGTGCCGAAACGTAAGATCTTTTCGCCATTTTTGTTTGCTGTAGGTAAGTGCGTTAATTTATCGCTCTAATATTTGCGAAACCGTACCGTACAATTTTGAGCTTTTCCGTAAAGTTATTTTTGCATTCAGATCCTTGAATTTTTGCTTTTACATTAAGTTTACCGCACCGTATATATATTTTGTTTTTCCTGTACAGTATAAATTGAAACCGCTCCGATAATTACAAAGCATTTTGTTACCTTCCGTTGAAGAGGGGGAATCTTTGTCGGGCTTATTGCCATTGCTTTTCCATAGAATTACCGAATTCGATGATGTACTGTTCCCGTTTAGGGCGTTTGTATACATTATGAGACAACGACACGATTTACCGCATGCGAGAATACTTTAGCAAGATTTCTCGCGCGAGTTGCTGTCTGATAGCACTGTCGAAGTGTAGGTAAATACACATGGCAGTGCTCTCAAACAATATAATAAATTTGTCTCCAATGGCGGTACAGACATCTCCGTTTTATACTTAAAACTGTTGAAAACAGTCACAATTCTTATCTGATGCACATACAGGGTCCGGCAAAATGATCTCCCACATTTTAATCTGTAATAAAAACGCCATTGTAAATGTTATATAGATTTTGTCTTTATTAACTGAAAATGTATGCTATGCCATTTGTTTTTATTAAGTTTTGAAAATTACAGAGTCCAAATGGCGACCATTTTTTTCGATACACATTCGAAGCTGATTTCTGAAAGTTTCCATCACTCAATTTCAATTTCAGGTGTCCGGACACTTCTGGGTCTACCAGTTGATTTTCTTTTTAAGGCTGAACCTGTAACTCTAAAATTTTAAACCCACAACAGTATTGTTTTGCGATCTGGAACTGGACCATGTCTACCAAGCGCGAAGTGAGTACGAAATGTTCTTTGCGTCGTAATCACAGATTCGTTACTTTTCATAAACGTTTCAATAACAAAGGCACGATGCTCACCCGTCCAATTCATGACTGACAACTGAAATGGCAAGGCCAGAGCTACCAACCGACTACACTAAGCTCCCCCTCTCTTCAGTGATTCTGGCACAGTGGCGGTGCAAAATGTGGGAGATCATTTTGCCGGACCCTGTACATTCAATATTACTATGCCTCAAGTCCCATCATGAAATGAGGTATTTCACAACTTGGTCAAGACAGTGGAAAAACTAGTAGGTAATTTATTAAAGATTGGTTTACAAAATAAGTTTATTATTATTATTACTTATTATTATTACAGTATAGACAGTCATGCACGTAAAATATGTGCGATCTCTCATTTTGAAAATAACCTCGAAAATAACCCTGTCTCACAAAATCATCCTTACTACAACAGAAAAACAGTAAAAATTGCAGATAGGTACGTGATAAAAAAAGACCTTTTTCTCTTTTATTGCAATTAAAGGAGACAACAATAGTATATTAAGTATGGAGAACGGTAAGGGATTTTTACCGTTCGAAGACAATTGTTTGGAGGAGGAGCGAAGCGACGACTCCAATTATTGTCTGAAAACGGTAACCCTTAACGTTCGACGTGCTTATAACATTTTTTGCGCGATCGAAATTAAAATTATGCAACCAATATAATATGCACTAAGAAATTAACGAACAGAATAAACCGAAATGATCGAAGTGGTATGGTGTACATCACTAGGTAACCAGTTTATTTGTCAAAATTGAAATTAATAATTTCATAAAATTGTGCATGTGTCTGATGTAGTTTACTAGCTTTGCACTTCCTTTATGACTTTATGAGCGTCTTGCTATAGGAAACAACAGCACAAATTGCACGTTTAATGTACCTAACAATAATTAAAGATTAAATGTAATGTAAGACACAAGTAAGATACGTAGCAACAGATATTCGTGTAAAAAAAGTCAGAAAGGATCATCACTATATCAAATTTAGTATTGCATCATATTCATTTTGTTATATTGTAAATTGAATAGAATTTTGTATGTAAACATATTTGAAAAATTAAGAGGTGTTACTTTACTAATCACTGAACTTCAGCTCTTCAGCTGATCATTGGTGTCGTTCCTTTATTTACCACTTAATAGTAAGCAGGTCAACATCTCGGTAATAAGTAAGTGCTAAGCGATTAAGAAAAGAACTTAAATGCCAAATTACACCAATTGCATAGTGTCCAGCAACGAATGATGGCTATGGAAAAAAATTGATTGCGAGTCTCACTTATAATAAGCTATGAACAAACCCAATAAGCATTAGGTATATGAGTGTGAGAGAGACAAACTTTACCAATGTGTTGACATTGATAGTAGCAATTATATGTCATACTGTTTATTGGGTTTCTTTTTAGCTTATTAAGTCAGATCCGCAATAATTTTTTCCCATAGGTATATCCCGAAAACCCTCTGAATATTTTGAAAATCTAGCAATGTACCTACTATAACGAGGAATTCATCTAACATATTTTCAAGTTGATGCAAACTTGCTTATTTTAAATGGAACACGCCATATATTATTTCCTTTTTATATTCTAGGTAACGTACATTTCATGTATGTATAATGTCTTTTAGGCGGTTTTGACATTTTAATTTTTGTCAAAAATGACGTTTGCAGCCTAAGACAATTGTCAATGTTTTCTGTATGAAAACTGAATTGAAAAATCTCCTATTTTTATAACTGGGTCTTTCCTTTTTTTCGCAGCCATGAGGATCAGTCGTGGTCAACTAACAACTCTTACAATAGAAAAAATATGAAATAACCAATATTTCAAAAACTGAAAATTTTTGGAATAGAGTACCTACTTTATACGGAATAACCCTTATTTATTGTGCTGAATAAGACACCGTTATAACAATAAGGGTTTCTTAAAAAAAATTTACCTCGCTAACAAGATTCATTTTTGTACAATTTGTAACTGTTTATTTCTCAATAAATAATTCAAAATATTGTTTTGTTATTTTTGTTAATCTAAGCAATTCACTAATCTGAACAACTTCTAGTCTCAATTAGTTGGGATTAGCGAGGTTCTACTCTACTGTAGTTATAATCAAAACATCCAACACAGTCCACTAAATCAGAACCTCATCTAAAAGGAAACCAGCCCAAATGAAATAAGTGCTTTTTAAAAAAAAATTGGTAACTATGATCTGGGCTGCAATTGTCTTTTTTTACATAAAAATATGTTGAAAGTGATTAAATATAGTTATAGGCATGTACATAGAATTTTATTTAGAATCTAAAAATGAAATATGGCGTTTAAATATGCAGATTCACATCAATTTCCGGTATAACCAAAAGTGCCACCAAAAATATTTTAGATGCATTCCTCTTGTTGGCATTAGTACATGGACAAATTTTCAAAATATTCCAAGGCCTCCTTTTCAAGGTATAGATAGTTGGCATATGTCGTGATCATTGAAATAAAAGACTAACGGCCAGTTGCACAAAAAAAAATAATCCAGGATTATTGTTTAATCCGATATTAAGACATTTGATTGGCTTTATACTGCAGTATGCAGGCAATCAAATGTCAAAAATCTTGTTTAAACTCAGATTTGGCAAATAATGTAGGATTTTGATTATAATTCGCTTTCCTGCAACCGGCCGTTAGTCTTTTATTTCAATGGTCGTGATACACCCCTTATAAAAACTACTAGCAACAAATCCGAAATATTTGCATTGTAAAGACATCCAGGACCTTATAATTTCACAGTTGACAGATCAGCCCTTGCATAAAATGTGATGAATTGAATCTATGAATTACCTACAGTCACATTAAATAAAAAATTTCTTTAAGATTTCTTTAAATTTTAAAAAAGTAATTACACTCACAAAATTACCATTTGAAATTGACGTATAAGATCGCAAAGCGCTATTATGTACTTTGTTGTGTATAATGAGATAGGCAGAGGCAAATTTTATCTGTGAAAAGTTTCTTCTTGAAAATATTAGTAAACATATGTAAACAACCAAGCAAGAACTGAACAATGTTTTTGGCAAGTGCAGTATAATGCTTTTTCCTTTGCATACTGTTGATAACAAAAGAACAGTACTTTAGAAACATTTGTGAAACTACTGGTAAAATGAATATTATGGTGGGTTTATACAATCATTATCATTAGTTCACGAAGCTCAGGATGGTTTCGTTGGTTAGCAACGTGCAATAAACCACTGTTGCTATTGGATATTTCTTAATGATTTTTGATAATGATTGTATAAACCCACCATTATTGTCAATTAATATTTGACGGTATTTCTGTATTGAACGAAGGTTTCTCACAGTAAAAGTCCGCAAATTAAAATGAATCGAGTATTTCCTTTAGACGAAATGGTATAGTATCACTTTTAAAATCAACATGAGGTCGATAACAATCAGACTTATGAATTTTTTCAATATATTCTTCAATGGGATCGTAATAATCTTTTAAGAGCAGCCTTTTTTGTATATTTCTCAGTGTAATTAGATATGTTACTAACTGGGCAGCTTGTATCTTCCGAAAGTCAGGTAAAGGACGTTCACTCCACATTTCCGAGGTTGTACTCTAAAAATTAACATTATGTGGCAGTCTTTCCTAACTACTCCCTTTACCGGTGTATCCTCCAGTAAGCACGGTAAGTGTAAGTGTTTCTTTAAACTATCTGCCAAATTCGGCGCCTTATATAAATGTCCCCTATCAACTTCTATTTTCTCATCTGCGATCTAAAAATTGAAGGTCAGTAAAGTAAACCTATACTCAGAATTCAAACCTGTGTATCAAAAGTATTGTTTATTGTAACTTTATAACAATGCCACAATGACTGGCTTAGCGGAACCAAATTATGACCTACTTTTTGGATATAATTTGATTCTAAAATTTTAGCTAAACCTGATGGAAAACCGGAATGGGTACACAAACTCAAATTCACGATATACACTTGACTCCACGATGACATGACCAATAACTCTACAGGCTTCGTTGTAGAAAACTCTGCCCCTATACCCACAATTCCAATACATTCGCAATTCGCCAAGACATCAACTACATCACAAGCCTCTTCAATTTTATTTATATAAATATACGTCCTTGCCATCAGTTGTAGACGTTCTACTTCAGTTGATGGCAGTTTATCTTCTTTTTCTTCTTTAACCTCTTCGCCATCCTCGTTTAGTTCCTTTACGGATTGAATCTCATTGATGTAAAAGGAAAGTCTGCCACCAATTGCACTTTGGGTATAATGATCAAGAATGTTTATCAATTCCATTCTATTTATATTACCGCCGTCATAAACACCTTCAAATACATTAGTATCCGCTAATTCTAAAAGCAGCCTTTGGCCACGCTTGTACACAAGCTTCATTTTCTAAATAGACAGTTTTAACCTTTGAACAACAATAAAATAAGGTTAGCACAACATAAATAAATACGAAATACCTCAATTATGGCATAACAATTTGAGGTTAGTCTAAATCACCCAGGCCGATCTATACACTGTGTTTTCATCTCTGTTAAGCCGGTTACACACGTACATTCCTTTAGGGTGCTAGGGATTAATAAATAGGCAACACACAATGGTCAGTGAAATTTGCAATAAAAGTCGAAATTTTTGAGTAATTTTTTAAGCCCAAATATTAATTCTACCTAGAGGTCTTATCATATAGAAACTCATTAAATGTAGCGATTTATTTTTTTGATAAAATTATTTAAGTCGTGTATAAATGATAATCTTGAATACCAAAGAGTATACATACTCTTTGAATTTACTAAGAAAGCGAATACAGTCCTTAGTAAAAAAAATATTTAAAAAGTAAATCCGCACAATTTATTTAGTAACTAAGTGGATTAAAAAAAATATATTACGAACTGCTTCAAATTATGAAATGAAACGTAATTTTTACTCAAAAGTGTATATAAAGTATAGCGACGGAAGAAATGCAGTACCTTCCATACAATGACGATAGGCAACTCAGGTAGCACTTTACCTGGACAATATTAACACCTAATGACCATTATATTTATATACTTACAATGGTTTATGACCTATGACCCTATTAGACCAGTAACAAAAGAATCTCAATGCCTTCCATTTATTCGTCTATTAATACCAACGATAATTGACGGATAATTAAAAAAATATTGTACGTCAATAAATGTAATATTCAGGAGTAACAACGTTTTCATTTTTTAGAACCGTTTCATACATTTTTTTCATACATTTGAGGTAAGTATATTGTTACCTACTTCCATAGAGAGAGGAAATAATATAATTTTACTCTATGCTACTTATCAAAAAACAATTTAATAATATCGATTCCTATGGAATAAAGGCATTTATTATTATTATTATGGTCGGGGTATCTTGTGAGAACTCAAGTCTAGCCTGGTTAACTAATCGCACGGCGATTAGTGTCTGTGTCTGTGTCTGGTGAAGTTATGTAGGGTCCTAAAAAAAAATAAAAGAAATAAATAAATAAAATAAAAATTCACACCCTCACAACGAAAGCTTGATGTAATTTACCTCTATATGTTGTCTTATCTGTCTCCAACTTCGTGATCTCCAGATACGTACCAAAAATGAAGCGATTCATCCCTTCGTCCCATTTCATACGTCTTTTGGAGGTTTCCTTTGCGCTGGTCCCATCCACAAGCGGTTGAGAAGCAGGCACAAAGGTCTCTTCATGGTTATTATTATTATTGTCGGTGTTTCTTGTGAGAACTCAGGTCTAGCCTGGTTAACTAATCGCACGGATTAATATCAAGTAACGATTAGTGTCTGTGTCTGTGTCTGGTGAAGTTATGTAGGGTTCTAAAGAAAAATAAAAAAATAAAAAATAAAATAAATATTCACACACTCACATTGGAAATCTAGAGATAGTATGTAATTCATACTTACCAACATAGCTATTAATGGCCCCACTAGTCAACGCTATCAGGAAAGAAGAAAACAAAACAAAAATATCATTATAATAATTCCTGTAATTTTATTAAATAGAGTTTATTGTGTAAGTGTTTCTTTGGCTTTGCGTTTGGGTTGAATACGAGTGGGTTGTGATAACGTGGTGTGTTTATGTGAAGAAGGAGATTTGTGTTTTTTAACTGTGCTAGGACGTGTAACTTTATTCGGTGGACCTGTCTTTGTAGTGCAAGTTGCGTTACTTGTATTTGTGGTGTTTCTTTGTTCTTGAGGTTGTATTTGTGTGGTTGCTTGGGTTTTTGGTGGAGATATTGCAGTATTTTGTGAGCTAGTAGTGCTGTCAAGGTTTTTGCGTTTGGGTTGTATACGAGTGGGTTGTTTCTGAGAAGAAGGAGTATTGCGTTTTTTAACTATGCTAGGACGTGTAACTTTATTGGGTGGACCTGTCTTTGTAGTGCATGTTGCGTTACTTGTATTTATGGTGTTTATTTGTTCTAGAGGTTGTGTTTGTGTTGTTGCTCGCATTATTGGTGGAGACATTACGGTATTTTGTGAGCCTCTAGTGCTGTTAAGGTTGCTGCGTTTGCGTTGAGTACGAGTGGGTTGTGATAACGTGGTGTGTTTCTGAGAGGAAAGAGTATTGTGTTTTTTAGCTGTGCTAGGCCGTGTAACTTTATTGGGTGAGGGCGTCTTTGTAGTGCATGTTGCGTTACTTGTATTTATTGCGTTTGTTTGTTCAGGAAGTTGTGTTTGTGTGGTTGGTTGAGTTAAGGGTGGAGATATTACAGTATGTTGTGTGTCATGTTGTGAGCCTAAAGTGCTGTTTTCCATCTTCGTGATCTCCAGATACGTACCGAAAATGAAGCGATTCATCCCTTCGTCCCATTTCATACGTCTTTTGGAGGTTTCCTTTGCGCTGGTCCCATCCACAAGCGGTTGAGAAGCAGGCACAAAGGTTTTATTATTTTTATTATTATTATTATTTATTTATTTTTTATTTTTTTTTTTTTTTCTTCATTTGGGCATCGACTACTGAGGTCATTAATATTATTATGGTCGGTGTTTCTTGTGAGAACTCAGGTCTAGCCTGGTTAACTAATCGCACGGATTAAAATCAAGTAACGATTAGTGTCTGTGTCTGTGTCTGGTGAAGTTATGTAGGGTCCTTAAAAAAAAAAAAAAAAAAAAAAAAAAAAAAATTATTATAAATATATATTATAAATATTATTATTATTATTATTATTATGGTCGGTGTTTCTTGTGAGAACTCAGGTCTAGCCTGGTTAACTAATCGCACGGATTAAAACCAAGTAACGATTAGTGTCTGTGTCTGTGTCTGGTGAAGTTATGTAGGGTTCTAAAAAAAAATAAAAAATAAAATAAAAATTCACACACTCACATTGGAAATCTAGGGATAGTATGTAATTCATACTTACCAACATAGCTATTGATGGCCACAATATAGTCGACGCTATCAGGAAAGAGGAAAACAAAACAGTTCAGGTTAGAGCTGTATGATATTTTGCATAGATTTAGGCAAAGTTAGCACTAGGTTTAATAATTTAATTATCATTAGGTCTAGGTCATTTTTCACTTTGAAATTCTTGAGAATAACAATTTTCGATAAACGTATTTTTCGACCTAGAGAGCAGATTGGGTTAGCTTTTGGTGCGGCTAGGCAGATAGAGAATTATAGTTACTGGAATTCACTATTTATCAGGATTTATCTCCTAGCTCTCGTATTTGATACTGGTTGGCTGATCGAATTGATTGCATAGTTGGGAATCAGTATAGTTTGTTTTATCAGATTTGAAGCAGCCTGAAGAGAATACCAATTGGGAATTTGATTAGTGCAGTACATAGTAAACAACCTCGAATTAGATTAGGATGGTAGTCATAAGTATAAGTTTAAGGTAAGCTAAATAATTGATAGGTAGTGTAGTATTAAAACTCTTTAATTTGTAGTTTGGAACATTGCGGATGAGTTCAAAGATAAGAACATGTTGATAGTGAATTTGCGTACCTACTTCATGCAAGCTGCTATACCTAATATCTAGAGGTACCTAAGAGTTAACTCTTAAGCTAGACATAAACTACCTATCTCATAACTTTTAGCTTTTTTATTCTGCCGCCTGAAATTTGGCACTTAATAGTACCCATACCTTCCTGCATCTGCGTTTGTTCTGAAATAAAGTGGGAGAATAAAATTAATTAATCATAATTAACCTGTATTTGCATACTTACAGTTTTTGTGGCTTTGAGTTGATGAGCCCTCTTCAAGGGTTATGTCAACTAAAATCAAAAGAGTTAATTCTTAACAGAGCTGGGCAGTATTCGATTTTGTAAATACTTTTTAGTATTCAAATCCTTTAAAGTAGTCAAATACTTTGTATTAATTACATACTTTTATGGAAGCAGTATTTGTATTTGTAAGTCAAATACTTTCACAAATATTTAGTATTCGAATACTTCGCAAAGTATTTGGATACTTCATAAAGTATTCGAATACTTCGCAAGGTATTTTAATACTTTGAGAGGTACTCGATTACTTCGCATAGTATTTGAATACTTAACCTTCCTTTTTTACCAAAAATCGACTACACCAAAATTTCTCGGGAAATAGTTATATACATTATTAGTGCGGGAACAGTTATTTTGCAGATGAGCGCGAAGTATGGCGGCGCGAGTGCGCAACGCGCACGAGCGACGCATCTCGCGCGAATCAAGCAAATACTGTTCACGCACGTAACATGTATTCTATTTTTTGCACGAATTAGTTAAATAGAATTTATATAAATTCAAATCCTTTTCGCGAGATTTTTGCAACATTATAATTCTTTTGAAAAAATCAAGTCCTCTATGCCGATAAAGTAGAAATCTAGAAATTTAAAATGTCAATTTATTGTTCAAAACCTCTGGTTTAAGTTTATTTTTGCCCCTGTACTACAGGGAATGATGTAAAGTGTATTTATATTTTCTTTTTTACTCTTCCATCATACTACTTATTAGTGTATGATCCGCACTAAATAGATAATTTCGTTGAATTTTTAGGAACTAGTGCGCGAAAGTAGATAGTCAATTGTAAAATTGACGTTCCCGACTTTCGTGTTTTATTGGGAAAACGCGATTTAGAACGAAGGAGTGCAAAAACACTTTTTCTTATTAATTTTGGTGCGTAGAATCCAAAACAATTCGTACTTTTTCGATTAGACCTCTCAATCAAAGGTTATGGACTAGAAACCAATTTCGAAAGGAAATTCAAAGGGCTGTAACTTTTGAACTAGTAGCCCAATCTTGGAACTGTTTGAAATTATGGATTCTACAGGCCACATTCTATAAGAAATTTTTTTTCCGGGTCGATCTGAGACAATTTTTTTTTCGGGACCCAAAAAAAGCAGTACTTTTAAGTTACCTATTCAAATATTTGATAACAATTTAGAAATGTTTAGGGAAAGTTTCCATTGTCACAAAATCAAAAATAAAAATCCGATACAACTGAATACCGAACGATCCTGAAGTGAATCTTTTTGACTCGATAGTCTATACGTAACTTAAAAACAATAGAGACCTTTCTTATATCCTTAAGACCATGTGTACCAATTTTCAAAGCGATCGCACGTTTCTAAACAAACTATCATGCACACGGACAAACGGATGGTCAAAAAAGGATCTGTTCCAAAATCGCTAGGATTAATTTCAGAAAGGCGTACGTATCATGTGCACGACGCTTTGAAAACTGGTACACGTATTCTTAAGGATATAACTGGTATAAGAAAGGTCCTGGTAGGTACCTCCTATATAATAATATAATAATAATAATACGCTTTTACTGCCCTTAAATTTGTATATAACAATAGAAATATAAAAAAAGCTAACCCCATACAAAGTATACTTGATTTTTTAAGTAGTGTTAAGACTTTTATCTAGTATACTATTTTAAATTTTTAATGTATTTGAGTGACAAGTATATTGAATACTTTTTACTGTATTCGAATACTTTTTATAGTATTCGAATACCTTTGAAAGTATTCGAATACATTCTAAAGTATTTGAATACTTATTTTTTAAAGTATTGGAATACTTTTCAATGTATCTGTATCTAAATACCTTTGATTTGTGAAGTATTTACTATTTAGTATTCAAATACTTTTTGAAAGTATTCTGCCCAGCTCTGATTCTTACCATTTAATTACAAATAATTTCATACCGAAATACAGACATATTAAATTCCTCTCTGCCACAATACCGAATTTTTTTTACACGTTCATTATGCTATGCTTGGAAGAGCCTATCCTCCTTGATTAAGGGGATTCACCTACTACCTCGTTAGATCTGGCGCCCTTAAGAGTTGAATTTTGTAGTAGCAAGTTTTCCTGGCAGAATACCGAACTTTACCACCCTCACGTACACGTTGAATGTTAGCCGGCTACTGAGTATAAATCCAAGTTTAGTAGTGAATTTGTATTCACCTAGTCCGATAGTATTTTATTTCGCAACACACATTCCCTTCGTCGGTACCCGCTTCCGACGTCCCGTGCATCCCCAATTTACGTTTTAGTTTCGGAAGTACGAAAAGTATCGTATATACCTGCGACTGAGGAGTAGCAGTCCTAATCCCTCAGGTAAATTATGGCCATACCCTGCGGTCGGCCCATAAACTTTACCTTCGGGATTAAAAGTAGGTACCTACTACTTCAGTCCCGTGATATATAATATAGGTATACTATTTAATCCCTTGTTACTTAATATACTGTTCTGTATTTTCCTTCTCTTGATTTTCCTTAATGCGCACTACCACTCCCTGTACTGAACAACACATCCGATCGTAAATTGTAAAGAACATCATGCGGCATATTTTTCTTGGATTTTGCATCATATCTTTATCTTTATTAAGGGTTTTTAATGACCGTATGATATTTTTGGTGGTTTTTCTCTTGTGATTTACTTTCTACGTTTCACTGACGCTTTTGCGGATCAATTAAAGTTCTGAGACCATTTTACTTTATGTGCTTATAATTACGCGATTTCTTTTAGGCTTTTACCTCCTGGTTTACTTTTTCCCTTTATTTTACTTCGTTGTTATCTGCCTGAATATTTCGACTTACATCGACGTCTTTGACGTTACGCAGTATTTGAATGACATCGCATTTTTATCTTCTGTTATATATATATACACCGATATCCTTTGTGACAACACAGAAAAGCCAGAAACCTTGCTATATTAGGTATAGGGTAGTGTATAACCTTTACCATTATCTTTGATTATAAAATACACTATATTCAAAGACCATTATTATTTTATTACTATTATAAATTCAATGCCTTTACTATAGTTCTCAACCCATACAACACGTAGATTTCAGACTTTTGCAAGATAGTTTATGTGCCCTCATTCGCACTTACTATCATATTATCGAATGTTTGAAATTTATATTTATGCAACATTTATTATCCCACATTTTTGTGTTTATTTGGGTAAATAGTAAAAATATTCAGTGGATTCGATGGGTTAAAAAGTATACTTATTCGATATGTCTATAGTAGGTAACTGATACAGTAAGAACGTTTATTAACTAATATCACCATATTTACGAATTAAATACATTTACTTACATGATTCTTTTTATTTTTACTTAATCGTTAATTAATTTAAATATTAAAGTTTTATATTACAGAAGCTAATAAAACATCAGTCGGACTTTAAGTTGGTGGAACAACTTTGTCGTCTTGTCGAATTGGAGGCGGAGTTAATTGTTCGTTTGGAAGTTCGATGTAAATTGGGGCACTTGTCGATAGAAACCTTTGAGGCGCGTCTAACACCTTGTGTGTGGAATGGCTAATGGTGATTGACTGAAATTTCAAGAAAAGCGTAGATATTTGCTGTAGAAGAAAATTACTCACCTTTCTTCTGTATAATATAACTAATACTGTCAAGGTACAAATAACGAAAGCTGACGCTGCTGCGATCACTATCATTGCTGTATGATAAGGTGCTATGACCGAGACTGGTGACTGGGAAACTATCTCTCTGTGTTCTAATGCAATTATTCGTTCAGCTGTAGAGGGTTCTGAGGAACCCAACTGGTGTATGAAACTTGATTTTGTGATATCGGAGAAAAGACCTGGGAGTTTTTGTTCTTTTACCTATAATTGCATTCGTTAATGACTAGAGATAGAGGGTAAATAGTCTACCATTTGTTCCAAGAGGTATGCAACATCCACTTTGTTACCGCCTACGAGCGCAAATTTTATATGGAGCGCTTCAGGAGTAGTCTCCATTACTATTTCATTGTCTCTGATAGAACCCTTATAATGGTTGATAATGGATTTAATGCGATTTAAAACGGGTGTTGCGGTGATATCGTCGTATTCTCCTCTAAATCCAATAATCACCTCCACGTACTCGATGGGCGTCGGTACTATTGCGCAAAAGATTATAATTTAATTCACTCTGTGTTTTTTTATACTTACAACACAGCTGTTCTCCCTGTTTGAATGAATTTGTGTGAGGGAGTTGATTTCCAGCCTCATCCACGCACCAACATTGCTCCTGATCGCACTGAGCTGGTAAAAACTTCCCTTGTGTATCGCATTGGGATTTTAATGCTTCACATCTGGTCAAGAATTGCCGATCGTCCAATACATTTTCGTATTCGTCTTTGCGTAAATCTGGATTCTCGTATGGAGTCACTGAAGCAATGTGCATCATGAGTTCTTCGAGTACTAAAAATTAAATGAATTAGATTCAGAAGATTTCTAATAAGATGCCAGGTGTTGTAATGGTGGCGAACTACTTCAAATCCTGAGTTAATTACAACAAGCACCTTCGATCTCTTCACAACAAACAGTACCTACTCCTCTAAACCCCAGACTTACTTAAGTCGACATCAGTTGGTTGTATTTTATCCCTCGACCGCCCTCTGGCTTGCCTAAAGTTGCAATCAGGCTCTTGTCCTCTCACGACGGTTCCTTTCTGCGTTTGACCCTGGGGAGTTACACACCAGCATACCCCAACATGTTCCATACACTGCACAGGCTTCCAATTGCCATTTGCAGGATCGCATCGCGGTATAAAGGTGGACTTATTAAACCTTTCCGACATTTTAAGGTTTTTCTCGCGTAGCCGTTCGCATTGGCTCAGTACTAAAAGTAGCGTTGCTACGAGGCCATTTTCTAAATAAGCGCAAGTCTTACCTGGACAGACCGCGTTACACATTTCCTCAGTGTGAAAATTGTTGTGGTTTCCATGGCAACCGCTGTATGAAAAGCTATCGCATTTGTTGCTCTTGGTGTTGAAATAGAAGCGAGTCAAGCTTCTTTCGTCATCTAATTCGGTACAAGAACCCTTATCCACGGGTTCAAAGCAGACGTCTCGTGGTTTAGGGCAGCACACTGCGTATTCGCCCAAGGGACTCAGTTGACACTTATGCGACGATGGACAAGTTTCGTATTCAGGTCCGCAGGTGGCAATTTCGTTTCCAATTTTTAACGGTTCCCCACTCTGGCAAGGATTCTCGCGTTTCGGCAAACACATTGGAATTGGAGGACAAGGCGAATCGATGCACTCTATTGCAACCAGTCTGCACGATTCTCCGTCCTCTCTACACGTTATCGACGCGCACGGGTCGATGCAGTTGCAAGTACGGCATCCGTTTGCGTCCATTTCGAATCCGTGATCACAATCCTCAGAGCATTTATACAATGGACAGTTTCCCGAGTAGGACTTGATCGCGCAGTCCAAGTTGTTGTCCAATGGAGTTCGAGTTTGCGAAATTTCAAATCCTCGGAAGTCAACGCACCAACATTCTTTTGTTGCCGGATTGCACTGTTTCGGTTCATAGCTTCCATCATCCGCACATTTTGGTATGTAAACGCGATTTGCGGGAGTTCCCGACTCGTGTGCGTGATGCTGTGTCACCGCTTGGTGGTGTTGGCATGCTGAAATTTTAAATCAGAAATTATGTTTACTAAACGTAAACGTGAAAAACTAATTTATTTTACTTCACTACTCTTTATTTTTATCCAATCCATGTAATAGATGTTAATCTTTGGGGAACATTTCAATTAAAAAATTTGTTGCATGATAATATGTTCATGGGCGCATTTTTTTAAAACAGAAATAGCGTTAGTAAATAGTTGGGTTATAACATTGATGGGGACAGGGCACATAAACATTTAAAAGCCGCTTGGCATACAATTCAAAATCTACGCTATCATTGAATACTTATCAATGGCTATATAAAGCAAGAAGAATAAAATCCTTAGAGAAATTGTCCTAAATATTGTTTTGTTCTTTGTAGGTACTTTCCTCAAACATTTTCGAGGTATTTAGAATTAAATTTTCACATCGCCAGTAGATGTGTCTCGTTTAGACCACCTTGACGCACTTTGAAAGTACCATCCTCCGGAAGCGTTCTGTAGATATTTGGACTAAAAGTTTTTTGACATCCCCAGTACATGTGTCTCGTCCAGACGTTCCACTTGCCCTTTATGAGTACACTCTTCCGACACTTCGTTTCATAAATTGTCCATTTATATGTAGGTGTGTCTATTTTTTTGACTTGCGTAAAACTTCACTGTTATATTTATTAATTCATTTTGCCTATTGTGAGTACTTTCCCCCGACAAACCGCTTTCGAGATAGTCGCTATTAAGACCACCAATAGATATATTTCCTCCAGAAGTCCCAATTGTCCTTTGTGAGTACCCTCCTCCAACAATCTGTTCTTGTGATATAAAGAATTATTTATATATCCGATCACGGTAAGGGGCCAAGGAGAAGTAGGAGAAATTAAATCCTCTCGTTCAAACCTTTCATTAGAGTACCATGAAAAATGGAACAAGCCCCCCCCCCCCCTCTTTTGATAAGGATTCGGCTAATATTAACGCATGTGTCAACAGCCGAACGCATCGATACTAGACGTGCGGAGAATATCATTTTTTAAAGTTAAGTGTTAAGTTTTTCCCGGTCAACGAAGAAATACGACAAAACGCGATTACTGATTTATGCGGTCGCCGCTCGCGGCTCGCCGGTCATTCAATATGGCGTTGTGTTGTTGTATTTATTTAATCTAAATCACGTTATTTTGTTAGAAAAACTTTGTGTACTAACTTTTGTGATTCTTCGCGCAAACTACTATAGTGTTCTGTGACTAAATGACCTTCTAATAAGTAAGTTAATTTAATTACATTGGAACACACCGTAGCATTTTTCTTTTGCAGAAGTCTGTATGACTATTTTCAAGGATACCACATTAAATGAAATAGAACAAAATATATCTAAATGGATAAGGCGTTGTGCGGAAAGGGGAAAGGATAAAAACGTGTGAATTGCATAAACCTATATATATTTATGTATTTACTTCAATTAAATCGTTTTGAATTTCGTTTTTTTCTTCTTTCATTTGCACCTCAATTTGCACCTATGACAATAACAGAATTTGTACATTTTAAGTACCTCTATGTATGTCCCATGGACGTACTGTAATGGACATACATTAAAAGTACAGGGCTATGTCAAATGGACTAAAAATGGACGTACATATTTTGCACAATGTACAAAAATGGACGTACAATGTACAATGCCAAATTCAATTGACTACGTACGTTGTACATCCATAGTACGTTCATGTGCTATATGGGCAAGAGGGTGAAACGACGGACCACTTCATAACGGAGGTTAAAATGCTTGCGGCTAGTTGCAACTTTAAAGATTTGGAAGAGTCACTAATACGAGACAGGATTGTTAGCGGGATCTCCAATTTATCCCTACAAGAGAGATTACTTCAGCAAAGTGACCTCACGTCGAAAAAATCAGAAGACATGTGTCGAGCTGCCGAGATTAGCCGAGAAGTGGATGAAGTTAGAACCAATCGCGGAGCCATTCCTAGAAGTTACAACCGAGGTAATCCAAAAGGTCGGGACCAGGTTAGTGATACCTATAACTGCTTAAAATGTGGGCGTACTCATGGAAAACGAAATTGTTTTGCGTTTGGGAAATTTTGTAGTAGATGTCAGAAACCAAACCATTTTGCGGTAGGCTGTAAAAATAGACCTGATCATTCTCAAAAGCAGGGTACTAGTAATAGAAGTAAATTTAAGGGTAGAATTAATAAAAATGTACATGAAATAGATGATACTGGTAGTGATGAAGGTAGTGACAGTTATGATAATCTAAATGTCATTGATATGATTTCATCGAAGAATTTAAAAGCAGATAATAGTTTTCCAAAAAATTGGACTACAAATGTTAGAATTAATAATAAAAATGTTCTGTTTAAATTGGATACAGGTGCAAGTTGCAACTGAGTATACCTATGGATACTTTTAATAATTTAAAACTTGATAAAAATAATATTAATGATGACATAATGACCCTAGTAACTTATTGTAACAATAAAATAAAAAGCAAAGGATCTACTGTGGTACAGGGAAAGGTAAAAGGGGTTACGTATAACATTAAATTTTTACTTGTCGAAGGAGCTTCTGTTCCAATTCTGGGGTTAAATGCTTGCATTAAAATGAGCTTAATAAAGAAAATTGACTTGATTAACAGTGAAATGAGCACGTTATTTGTGAATAAGGAATCGTTTATTAAAAATAATTTAGACATTTTTGAGAACACTGGTAAAATACAGTACGAATATAAGATAATATTGAAGGAAGGGGCTGAACCTTTCTCTAGTGCCTGCAGGAAGGTTGCTGATATGATTAAGCCAGTACTAAAAAACACATTACATGATTTGGTTAAAAGGGATATAATTACACCTATTGAAGAAGCTACAGAGTGGGTAAACAATATAGTCATTATCGAAAAACCCAATAAAAGTATAAGGATTTGCCTAGATCCATTACACCTTAATAAAAATATTTGTTATGGAGCAATACCCGATTCCAACTATTGATGATCTTGCAGTTAAGTTAAAAGGTAAAAAGATTTTTACAGTATTAGATTTAAAAGAAGGATCTATCATGTTCCATTAAGTAAAGAAAGTATGAAGTACACAACTTTTATTACTCCATTTGGGAAGTATTGTTTTAAATGATTGCCTTTTGGGTTAAATGTTAGTCCACAAGTGTTTCAAAGAGTAAATGAAAAAATGTTCGGAGATTTAGGAATTGGAATTTATGTTGATGATTTCATTATTGCTAGTGAATCAGAAGAAGAACACGATAAAATTCTTAAAAGTGTTATAGATAGGGCGAGGAAATGCGGTGTAAAGTTTAATAAAGATAAAATACAATTTAAAGTAAATGAGGTAAAATATGTGGGACAAATTTTCTCCAGTAGTGGTGTTAGACCAGACCCAGATTATATAGAAGCAATTTTACAATTAGAATCGCCAAAGAATAAAAAAGAATTATTAAGAGTAATTGGTATGTTTAAATAATTACTTAACCAAATACATATCTAACCATTTACCTTTACCATACCAACGTGAGATCTTGGATTCTCCAAACAAATCAATCAATCAGAATACTAGTACTAGTGAATGTAAAACTAGATCTGGTAGAGTCATCATAAAACCACTAAGATTTAGAGAATAAGAAAAAAAAATAAATGTCTGTAAAAGGGGAAGATGTAACTAGAGTTAGAGCGGAGCCACTTCCAACTTATCACGAAGATGGCGGAGTTGTATAATGTTTAAGATCTATGTTCCTAGTTCAAAGTTAATAAATATAATATTAAAGCTGGAGTATTTAATTATTAAACACACATAAGAAGAGCATTACAGTTATTAAGTAAGAAAAATTAAGCAGAAACTGTTTGGACAAAGACAAGATGTTTGACGAAATTAATTTGAAAAAAGGTGTTGAGTATAATAAAAAAAATGGACATCATAGAAGGATTCCACGATCTTGGTTATGAAAGGTTGTCTAATTATCATGCCACGGTTTTTCTGTTAAGAGGACTATTTGATAACTGGAAATACGTCATATCATATATTGTCACAAAAGGGCCCGTTACTGCAATTAATCTACATGAGCACCTTCTTAAACTTTTGTCCGCTGTAAGTAATATTGGAGTTAAAGTTCGCGCTCTTGTATGTGATCAAGGCAGTAACAATAGACTGTTGTACATAAGTATAACAAAAAACCGCAGAAGAAAGAAAAATTTTATTTAATATACCTACGATATAAAAAATATACGTAGGTAATAATTTGTTGAACAATCTTAAAAAAATGTTTGTAGATGGTCAGCTTGTGTCGTGGTAAGATATTGTGTCCCTTTATAACTTTGAAACTAAGAACAAAGCCCGTGCGTGCGTGAAACTTTCAAAAAAACATACCACGCCGTCTACTTTCGATAGAATGCGTGTAAAATATGCGACGCAGATATTTTCTAACCAAGTAGGTATCAAGCGCAATTTTGACATGTGTCCAAACTGGAGAAATAACAAGCCCAACGGCTACAGCAACTGCCCGTTTCCTAAAAATGATTAACGACTGTTTCGACTGTCTAAATTCAAGATCATTAAAAGACAAAAATCCGTTTCGTCGGGCCATGTCTGAAAGAAGACCATATATAAAAGAAAAATTAGAAGAGTGCTTGATTTGGCCATTGAATTAAAACCACATTATTCAATGATTTGGCTGAGAAATATTCGTGTTTGCGATCGCAATGATAAAACAGCAAACGACATTTATTGGTTTAAAGGCTTATATATGAGTATTGATATTATTTTTATACAATGACCTTATTGAAGAAGGGTGTGATTTTCTTTTGACTGGTCGCTTAAACCAAGATCCATTGGAAAATCTATTTGCTAAAATTCGTTATTGTGGTGTAAAAAATAATAATCCGACTGTGCGATTATTTAGGATTTCCTTACAACATTGTATAACTTCGAATTTAGAAAAGCCTACCGAAAATGCCAATTGTGAAGCTGCCGAGGAAGAGGATGAAGAGCCGCCGGCTGTCCTATTTGACCCAGAAATATCTGAAGCGCAGGATACTGCACTAGAAGAAACCGATGAATTACAAAACTTCCAGGTGAACATGGAGACTGAGAGAGAAGATGAAATCGATTTATTTATTTATTTAGTCAGCTTGGAAACGTGTGCTGTTAGGTAAGTATTTTACGGGATACGTTGCTTGGAAAGTGCTAAAAAAATTCAATTGCGATTTATGTAAAGACTACATGATCTCTGATGGTTCGGAACTGTTAATTTTAAATCGTGACTATGGTGTTGATGATCAAATAACGTTTCTGAAAAATCCTACAAACAATTTATTAACCGTAGCGGATACAGCGTTGACAACATTTGACAAAGAGTTTAATTTGATTAAGCATGAAAAATACGTAAAAAAAAAGATTATAGAAAAATGTGTGAATCTAATTAACTACAAATGTAAGGACTTTCTCGATTGTGACACGTGCTTTAATCACCGGATGTTTTTTATTGACCATTTAATTCAAATGAAATTGTTTAAGACTTTGAAATGGCTATCGGTAGTTTTAAGGTGCTCTAATACCCAAAATAAGAAATTGCAGTCATTGCAAAATGCATAAACTCGCTCACTTGGAAGAAATTTTTTCCACGAATCTTTCTCAAGAGATCAAGAGCTTTTACTAAAAAATCTGTCATTTTTAATTTGAAACGAATGAAATGTGGTATTTATAAAATTATAACGTGGCCATTTTTTATTTGTCCCACAACCGAACGACTGCTGGTTTTATTGGCTTCGCTAATAAGATGTGGAAATTTTGTTTTAACTCTAGAATTCATTAAATAATCAATGCAAGCCACCTACCTTGTTTCACTGTAATCCAACAGCTTTTATACCCTATCAGTTAAGATTTTGAGTGCTTCAATGAATTTATAACAATTCAATGCCAACACTATAAATGTATTAAATTATCAAAATCCTCTGGCATTTATTAATTTTATTTATTTATTTATTATCCCTCAATATGGGCCCTCAACAGGCTTGCGCCCAATTACAGAGTGACCCGCATAATGCTTTTTACTCGATCGAAGGGACTTCAGCCCATTTTTGTGTGGCAGATCTATTAGGCAGTTTTGACTCCACCATCAGTAAGGTTTTGTCGGGGATTAGCAGATTCCATTTGTCGGTACCCAGTTCCGACGCCCCGTTCACCCGTATTTCGGATTTTGGTGGATTCCGCCAAAAACATGTCACAAATTCGTACTTACTTATTTCATTTTTGGGGCACTTCTAATAGGTTGAGACACGAGAAAGGGAGGCTACGATTCGAGCTTGAAGTCGACTACCCCTCGAAGCGCGCCTTGCAAAAGGTGGTTAATTTCGCCCCTTGGAAAAAAAGAAAATTTTGTCACGTAGGAGTGCGCGTTCACAAGATTTTTCCACAAACACCAATTTGAAAACATTTCCTTAAAATAAGTATTCAACATTTACATATATCCGTTTGATCTATATTAGTTCCTGAAACTAAAAAATTTTAACTTGTACTCCCCCTGTGTTCAAAATAAAAGAAAAGTCGGGAACCAATTTTGTAGACTCGTGATTTGAAACATCTCGGTTCATGTGTTTGAAATCCATCGCTACACCACATTTTTTAACAGAAACTATGAATACTATGATGTGTAATAACGGCGCACTTTTGTGCTTCTCCGGGACAACGGGACCTATATCTAGAGTGCCCATATGCACTTTTTTTAGTAGGACAGTACTTTCTTCTCAAACGCTGTCCTATTGTCCTTTACGATTTACCAAGTACCTTTTTGTTTTGTTTATTTGGATTTTGACCCATCGTGCCGCAACTTATCGATGAAATGTTTCAGTTCTTAAAGAGTAAACCACAACTTCTGAAGGAAATTCATGGTTCCAAAAAGTATTACTGGTACCAAAATGATGATCAAAATGTTCAGGCAGGAACGTCGGAGGAAAATTAACTTTGTTTTCTTACTGCTTGATTACAGATTCGTAAAATTGTGACCAGAAAAATTTCCTAGAGTATTAGCAGTGTATTCCCTTATAAATTGTAAATGTACTTTTTTTCTTGAAAATTATGGTCACCCTACCTTAGGCCCTACCTATATCACGAAAACGAGACTGTCCGGTTTAGAATGGACCTGATTATAGTGACATTTGCGACAAAAAAATAAAGCAATTATAAAAATAACATTAAAAGATAATCTGACGATGACAGTGAAATGGATTCTCCAATATTATATGAATTATTGAACGGACAACAAATATCTCTTATATTTTATTTTAAAGGAAGGTAATGAAAGTATTTTTAAATCATTAGGTATTGAATTATACAATTTAACAGATGAAAATAGGAATTATCTCTGAAAAAGTGTTGTGGAGTGTATAGGTATAATGAAGTTGTCCAAATGCCTGAGATTGCGATTGTGTTGTCTGTTCACTCTCAGGGATTTTTTAAATTTCATCCCTTAAAAGATGTAAAAAGAGTGAAAAATATTAAATACCTATTACAACTGTATGTGTGTGTCCCTGAACTCTTCGATTAAGTTTTTATATTATTTTAAAGATTTTCAGAAAGAATGTCGGCCGCGTCGCTATTAGTGTTATATTTGCTGAAAAAATGTCCAAATTTAATTTTCAAAATATTATGATTTCAATTTCCTAATGTATAATATAAGAATTAAAGCTGGTTGTTTTAGTTTGCACCTTTTGTTTCGTCATATTTCTTCCAAGAGATTATATACAAAAAGTTTCATATTGCATTATAGTAGACATGGTATATTTTACAGTTGACCATTACAGTAAAGGTCGAAGCTTGACTCAATGATGAAAGTGAATAAGTCGGTTGTCTGTTGAACTGTATTCCGGTTTAAATTGTATTTATGTCTTAAAACGTGGTGGAAATTTTAAATTAAACTCTAAAGTATGAGAGTGAACAACTTACGTACATTTTTCGTAACTTAATTTACGGTAACGCATTTCGTAGCTAAGCGTTCCCCGACGAACTAACGCCATCTGAGAACGGAGAACGCATACCGGCACGCTAATATACGTATGATTTTCGCTCTTTTCGTTGTATACTCTTTGGTTTTAGTGACACCTGGTATATTACGGTTATACCATATGTGACGGAAAGATTAGCGGCGGTTGTACAATTAAATGGTTCTTATCTTGGCTAAAGCCAAATGGTTCTTATCTTAGCTAATGTCTTGTGTTGTTTGTATATCTAACGTAAGGTGGATGAATGTCGATTTTTCTTGTTCCTTTCTGCTGTAATTTAATCACGTTGCGAGATGGCGAGTTTCGAATTTTGAATAATTTCGTGGAATTGGGATTTTTGATTCGATCAATTAATTTATTTCGCGATTCAATTCGCATTTTAATTGTGGTTTTGCCAAAGAGATTTTAATTATTTAGAAATTGGATGATGATTCCTGTACCATTGCTTTATATTTTCGGTGGTAACGACCAGTACCAAGGTAATCGGTAATTTAAGGAATACGGTAATGGAAATAATTATAACAGATATGGAAGAAGTTATCAGGAAATTGGAGGATACAATAGGAATAGGGAGTTTAATTACAGGGCGACTAATGAAAATCAATACCGCAAAGAACAACGGGAAGATAGGGAGGTTAATCGAAAATATGATTCTAATTCACGAGTAAAAAGGACGAGAATTTTTAGGGAAGAAGCGAAGGTATTAGGGATGTACACAACAAGAATGAGATGAGAAGCTGCATTTAATAACTAAGCGGGTTATGAAAGTTCCAGAGTCGGATACAATAGAAGCAGTGGAGGTTAAAAAGTTCATTGACGGAATTTCAATAAACCGTACTACTGAGATTGGGAAATTAGCATCAGCTTTAGTCGATGCAGAGGTAGAGGTGTAATTTCCAATAGTTTTATATTTTATTATGATATAGAACCATGTTTGTAGCGTTATCTAAAACATGTTTGTTTTTGTGTTTTATTAAGTATTTATTTTTGTATTCACGAGGACGTGTATTATTGTGGTGTTGCTCTGTATGCTTTGATTTAACTGTATTTCCTGGAGAAAGTAGGTAATATTTTCTTACTCATGGTCCGCTGTCGTTCGATGATTCGCTGTATATGCTGCGCTCTTACTCGTGACCCGCGGCCGGACGTTGCGTAAGCTATACGAGAATGGAGTCCTTCAATTAACTTTTCTTCTATTATGTTATGCCGTTGTAGTGCATAATGAAGCCATTTTAGAACGTTATTTTATCAACAAAAATTTAAAGTGTTTCCCGTCTGAATAGCCATAAGAAAGAAATTTTGTCCTTAATGCCACAAACCAGCGACTAGTGATTTCCAGGTGCCTGTCAACGAGTGTGTTTGTGCAAGTGCTACAATGTGCTTGAATATCGCAAGACCATTGTTTTGACCAGATTAAATGGATTTTTAAGAGAAAACTGTAAGTAATGTTAAGACTTTCTTTCTTATTTGTGTCAATCAATTAATCGTGTACTTATTTGAACCCATTGTACGACCCAGAGAATACTTATGTTCAGATATTCTATTTGTACCCTTCATTTTGTATTATTTACGATTTTGTCTATTGGGCCGATTGACAGTTATACAACCTTCATGCTTTACGCGATCTTACCTGTTTGAAGAAGAGGGTCTGTACACTGCGTTCCACAGCCGTTAGAGCAACAAACTTGGGAAGAATTACAAGCTAAATTTGAACTACATTCAAAGTCGCACGATGTCGATACCGCAGGAACCAGGTACGGGCATTGACCAGTTTTCTTCGGCAAACCTGCAAAACGGACACTAAAGTTTATGCAAACCATATAAATGTATCGTACATGCTGGCACTGGTGGACAGTAGTGATCCTTACAACTAACTTCAACTATTTGGCATTGTTGGCCCTCGTCGCAAGTGATAGACTCGCAGGGGTCTCTACAGACGCACGAGGGACAGCTGCTATCCTCTTCAAGAACAAAACCATAGTCGCATCCCATTCTGCACGTTAAATCCAGACAGTCAAGAGATTTTCGCAGTTCCACGCAAGCTTCTGTTGTATTGATTTTCCCTCTGCTTTTAGGTATTTCGGTACCGTAATCATCGACGCATATACATTTCCCATTGTGACATTGCAGCGGATGGTAGTTTCCATTCGAGTCGCAAGAAGGTTCAGGAAGTGCCAAGGACATTCCTTCCCTAGTTCCCTCCATGTTTTCGGCAAAGTCTTTCAAATATTCGCACACTAAAAACCCACGAACGTTACGGCAAGCCGAGAGTATAAGCCTTTAACTTACTAGTTTGCACTTTTTCTTCGCCTGTTATCGTTTCTTGTGTGGCTGTTGTGTCTAAAACTACAATGGTTTCATTGTACCGAAGTACCCAAAATTAGGAGTCTTACCAGTTTCCGTGTTTGTTTGGTATTCGTCTTCGAATGCAGGGCAGCATACCGAGTTAGGAGAACCAGCCACTGTCGTACATTCAAAGTTTTGAGGGCACATATCCGTACAAGCGACTGGAACACCTCTCAAATCGTCAGTTAATGGTGTACCTCGCTTGCATGGGTTTACGTATGCAGCCTTAGGGCGACCTGAAAATGTTTAGTTGGTAACCGCACTTTATGTTAATATTAGAATACTGACAGACTGGTAATGTTGGGCATAAAAAGTCGCTACAACTTGACTCTCGCACGACCACGCATTCTTCATCGTCAGAACATGCGTAACCAGCGCAAGGGTCATCGCATTTGCACGTACTGCACCCATTTTCATCTAATTTGAACCCATATTCGCATATTGCCGCACAATCTAGTTTTTCGCACATGCTTCTATCAATGCTTCGCCCCGCCGAGTATGTACGAGCTGAAAGGAACTTTCATCACATCGAACACGTTACTATTCCACTTACCGTCCGCTAAACTGCAATTAACGTTCTTAGCGCCTCCCATTGAACCTTTCAGTTTGGCTCCCATACGATCCACGCACCAACAAACCAAGCCATTCTTGCTGCACTGCTTTGGAGTAAACTCGCCATCATCAGTACATTGCGGCACATATCCGCGTCCCACGCGTTCGTTAACTGCCAAAAGACTACTCAGCGTTTTCTGATGGAAGCATTCCGTGACATTTTTCGGATGAACGCACGACGATCCGCATTGATCAGAACTGCAACACTTTTGAACGGAGGGACATTCCAAATCGTGTGTACATAGGAGACCGCAGTCGTACTGTTTCTCGGTTGCGGCCGGACACGAGCCCGATTTTTGTATCTTTAACGAAGCTGGACAGCAGACTCCATAGTCGTTACCTACAAAGCCAAATTATACAATTTATACCAACACCGATTAATCTAACCTGGTTGAACGAGGCATTGATACAATGGTGGACATGTTGGTTTTGACGGCTCGTTTCCGCACAAGAATGGACGAACTGTTTCACTAATCCTTAGCGGGCCACCAACTGGGCAGATATTATCTAAACTTCTTCCACGTTTGCCTAAAGGAAATTGAGTTTGAAAATAATTTACTATGTGAATGTGTAGCCACAACATATTAAATTTATGCCTTTGTGCTATATTATGCTAGCATTTGTTGTTTGATATAATTACTGCGCTCGCACGAAAAAATCCATAGCAGATCGACGATCCAAAGTGCATCCATAAGGTAGAGAACTCAGTTGAGACCTCGAGAAGGTCGTCGCGCGTCAGCAAAAGTTGAGATTGACATGTAGCTTTTAAACGGTGCAAGTTAGAGAAAAACTGTATTATGCCATTGTAAGTCGCTACATGCCTTTATCTGCCTTCTCACCACCCCCTTCCTTAAAATGTTGAAAACGAAAATTTTGAAAAATATCCGAAATTCATAACCAACGCACTGAATTGAGTAACTTTCGAAACACCCATTATCGCTAATATGCTAAGTTTGTTCACTCTCGTTAAATGGTTAAATCATTGTTAGCAGATTTTTTGCCTATGGTAATTTAAAACAAGCATTGAAACTGCAAGGTCATGCTGGTTTACGCCGATATCGGGCAAATAAGAGACCTTTTATCGACCTGAGAAATTCCAAGAGACAATTAATTAGAATTATGAATTTGGAAATACTATCCGGCGAATTAAACCAGTATAATTAACAGTAGCTAAGTTAATGAGTTACAGTGAACAGCATCCGGTTCAGTAGTCAGGGGTCTCAAAAGAAGTGCACTTAATTAATTTGAATTTTAAGATCAATTACAAATTTTTAGGACGTCTGTCAATTAATTAAGAACGTTTTAATTTTTGGATGTAGATAACAGAATATGCTGGGAAAAACCCTCCATGAAATAGCCGAATTTAAGCGTTCATTTCTAATCGATATAAATCGAATAAAAAACTCATGTTGCAATTGAACCCGTCAAATTATTATTTTGAAACCAAAAGTGGGGGGTCAGTTGTTACAATCGACAAAAAACATTCTCAAGTTAAATTTGGTTTAACATAAATCAAATACAACCTTTTAGGTTAAATATTTTTATTAAATTGAATTTTTTGAATTGTCACATTTTCGACGGTTACAAGTTGGTTCCGGGAAAATGCAAAAATCTGTAAAGGTATGCATGCCAAAAAAATTCATTTCTAAGGGATATAAATCGAATAGAAAACTCATGTTGCAATTGAACCTCGTCAAATTATTATTTTGAAACCAAAAGTGGAGGCGCAGTTGTTACAATCGACAGAAAACCTTCTCAAGTAAAATTTGGTTTAACATAAATCAAATACAACCTTTTAGGTTAAATAATTTTATTAAATTGAATTTTTTCAATTGTCACGTTTTCGACGGTAACACGTTGGTTCCGGGAAAATGCAAAAATCTGTAAAGGTATGCTTGCCAAAAAAATTCATTTCCAAGGGATATAAATCGAATAGGAAACTCATGTTGCAATTGAATCTCGTCAAATTATTATTTTGAAACCAAAAGTGGGGGGTCAGATGTTACAATCGACAAAAAACATTCTCAAGTAAAATTTGGTTTAACATAAATCAAATACAACCTTTTAGGTTAAATATTTTTATTAAATTGAATTTTTTGAATTGTCACATTTTCGACGATAACACGTTGGTTCCGGGAAAATGCAAAAATCTGTAAAGGTATGCATGCCAAAAAAATTCATTTCTAAGCGATGTAAATCGAATAGAAAACTCATGTTGCAATTGAATCTCGTCAAATTATTATTTGAAACCAAAAGTGGGGGGTCAGTTGGTTGCAATCGACAAAAAACATTTCTCAAGTTAAATTGGTTTAACATAAATTAAATTACAAACCTTTTTAGGTTAGGTTAGTGATTTGCATAACAGACTATGTTGGTTTAATTTAAAGTTTAATTTGTAATGCGGTCACAACCGTTTGCAGTTTTATTGGCGGTTCTAGGTTCTTACCGACCTGCTTCTGTTTGTACGGATTGACGAATCTATATATATATATATATAATATATATATATACATATATATATATCGAACTGCTCGTTAATGGAATTAAAGAACCCATACACTACTTGGAAACCCAAAACTTCAAAATTATAATAATATGGATTCCCGGTCATGTCGGTATATATATGGGTATATGAGAGCTGATGAAGCGGCACAAATTTCACCACAGCAAAAACAAACCGATGTTACAGTTATTCCACCGTCAGACTGGAAAGCATATTTAAAAGAGTATTGTGACCCATTGGGAAATAAAATGGAAGAACTTCAATAACTTGTTAAGTAAAATAAAGTGCCACACAAGACCATAGGTAAACACGTATCGCTTGAGCAAAAGAGAGGAAGTAGTGTATACGAGAATACGTATTGGGCATAGCAATATCATTCGCCTTCATATGTTGGAAAGGTGTGAAATTAAAAATTGTAGTAGATGCAGTGAGCCATATACAGTGCAACACATTCTTTTGGGTTGTTCTGAATATGAGAATGAACGGAAAACGCACGGATTGCCCAAAAACTTGAAAGAAGTCCTTCATGACGATCAGAACGGTATTCAACGACTGATTTCATTTTTAAAAAGTATTGATATATTCAATAAGATTTAAGCTAGAAGGAGGTACATCAGGCGAAAGACCAAAAGCAGTCGAAGCCTTTATCACTGAAAAAAAAAAGATTTGTGACAACTCGCTACGCGTAGAAAAAGGGAGGTTGTTGCTGATGCCTTTGCCTCCACCTCCTGGTCAGCCAGAAAAAGAAACCATGGTTTACTGTCACTGCTCGACCGAAGCTTTATAGTTGTGAGGGTTGGAACGAATATTATCCCCGTAACTTTATTTTACACATTTAAAAAAAAAGAAGACAAGTAGAGTATTTGAGAGTGGAAACATTATTTCCCCCGAATGGAACCGTGAATCTTGCACATTTCACATCTTCTTTACCATTGATTAGACATTTAAAAACTTGTAAAGAACCCTTAAATTCGGCTATTTCTTGGAGGGTTTTTCCAGTGTATTCCCAGCATATTCGGTTAGCTACATCAAAAAATTAAAACGTTTTTAGTCCTAAAAATCTGTAATTGATCTTAAATTCAAACTAATTAAGCGCACTTCTTTTGAGACTCCTGACGAATCAGCTGTTCACAGTAACTCATTAACTTAGCTACTGTTAATTATACTAGCTTAATTTGCCGGATAATATTTCCAAATTGATAATTCTAATTAATTGTCTCTTGGAATTTCTCAGATCGATAAAAGGTTTCTTATCTGCCTGATATCGGCGTAAACCAGCATGACCTTCCAGTTTTAATGCTTGTTTTAAATTACCATAGGCAAAAAATCTGCTAACAGTGATTTAACGTGGCTGAAATTCTAAAATATTAATATATATATATATATATTACTGCCCGCACCGTTAAAAGCGCCTTAAAAATAGGTAAACCACGTAAAATACCCTACATAAATTCTCCCTGGGTATTTGACAATTCCCTTCAACCTTCCTAGATGTAAGAAAGGACAAAACAAACCCTGGACATACATTTTTGACCCATTTTATGGGCGGGTATTGAAATGCTACCTTGCGCTTAGGAAACCCGCTATAGCAAGTGCCGTCCGGGGTTGCGGAATAGCTGAAATTGAACCTTAGGGTGTCTAGAACATCCTCTGAAAGTTTCATAAAGTTATCACAAAATGCAAGGTCGAACCCTGTTTTGGCTCTTAAACCCTGCACTATTACTTAAGCATTTATAAAAAGTTCCATATGTAGACACTTCCATTTCAAAATTTGTATGTATTTGTAGTACACGCTCCACTATTTTTCATTAAACTGTATAGACTTCGACGATAACGGCTCATTTGAAAGAGAATGGGGTAAGGATCACTTTTTAAACTTGTTTATAGTGCCCAGACCACCCTGTACTATTTGCGCACAGACTTTGATAAGACTATGAACCATGAATGAAAAATTCTTTTGGAATTAACAAAACCAACCCCGTCTACCGATACATAGGATTTTTCAAGTTGCGACATGGCCAAGGTTTGTCTCATCACCTGACACATAACACATGATTTAAGAAAATTTTAAAATAGTAGTGTAATTACCATTACGAATCATGTCACATAATTGCCAGCATAATGTAGCACGTAATTCTAAATAAGCTCAATTGCTTCATGGAGACGTTCATTCCTTTTCTACTTACACGTCGGAATCGGTGGGCACGGAGGATCTGAGCATGCCAGTTCTTCAAGTTGACAATCTAAAGTTTTGGGACACTTGACATTTTCGCACGGATCTCTACATTTACAAAGTGGACAGCCGTCATCATTGAGTGCAAAGCCATGCGGGCAAAACATTCGACATGTATGACCCGCGCACGGTTTTGGAGCTAAAAAGACAACATGACTAGTTGTGAAAGTTAAAACGTGAATATATTTTAAATGTCGTGGTCACTGATGGTAGGAAATAATTTGTGTAGGTACGTTCTTTGACGAGCACAGTTGGAATTTAGGTCAAAACCTTAATTTATAAAACAAGTGCGTGATTTATGCTTCAACGTAGACCTACCTGTACAATTGACTAAAGCGACGGCAGGTGCTTTAGTTCCTGCAATCTCAAATCCCTGTTCATCCACGCACCAACAGGAACTAACAATTTCATTATCGCACTGGACTGGTTCGAATCCTCCGTTCAAATTGCAACGAGGCGTTCGTACTTTTTTAATATCCATTCCTAAAGATTTAGCTCTTCTTGAAGCGGCGTTATGTAAAGTTTCACACCCTAATTTGAGAAAGTCAGATTGGTACCGGTTTCATTTTTTTAACCTTTTGTACCTACCAGTTCGAAGTTGTTTCGTACAGATTCTTCCGCAAGGACTTTCACAACAGTTGCTGTCTGGATTGCATTCGTCGTCTTCGTTACACGATTGTGGTCGGAAAGGGCACTCTGTTATGTTGGGACATTTATGGGATTCTTGCACTGAAACTTAAGAAAAATGTATATTAGTCTTAGACTTAGACAATTCTTATAATTTTAGTAGAGCAATAACCGAAACAATGACGAACGTTAATTATGATTCAAAGCCTAAGTAGCACTTTTAATTTCCTTGATTTATTGTGTCTGTGTGGATTTATGGTTTGTATGGAGAATGTCTTTAGAAAACACGCTGTGTATTTTTAAGTTGAGACTATTTCGGGCCTGCAGCAATGCAAAGTTGTGGTGTTGACAGTGGCATCTCATGTTAATCAAACAAAACAAAAACAAAAATTTTCCAACGTAGAAACTATTAGCACAAATAATAGTCATATGGAGCGACGAGGTTTAACACTAAATGGCGTACGGTTTTGGTCATAACATAAGTACCTAATGGCCCTCGATTATCTCAAGTCTAGCACATAATTAATATAAGTACGAAATATCATGTGAGTTGTAAGATTCGTTTCAAAATGAGGAAAGTCCCTAAGATTGAAATGAAATTGAACTAAATCGCGGAGGAACTGGGACTGTACATATCATCTTTCCCGAAAGGTGGATAGACCTTTACTTTTCGTGTATGATATTTTCTCAATCAGACTTGAAATTGAATATAGAACAGGGGAGGGATTTTCCATTGCTGGAAATAGTGTAGGTACAAATCGATGAAATCGTTTGAATAGAAATAGATTGAAAATGAAAGGAGATACAAAAACAGGTTGGAAACTGTCTCGCGTATAAAGGGAAAAAAAACCTAATTTCAATTTCTCGCAAGATGTTTGATGCAATGGTTATTGCGTTTCTGATGCTTTCCGGCAGTGAAAATCTGCAAATCCGCTCAAAAGAATTTAAATACTCAATTCTGTGGATAAGTGTGCGGGTAAATGCGAGAAAAATGCGATGGAACTCTTTCAGACACTTTAGATATTCAATAAATATTGTAATGAAGTTTATGACGTAATTTGAAGTTTTTCCATTTTTAAAACATTTTGGGATGTATTATGGCAGCGAAAATTTTCATTGGTGGCACTTCATGCGATTGATGGTCTTGGGTAGGTTTACTGACCACAGCCAGACGGGTTTTGATAGCGTGGGCTAGATAGCACGTTGCGGCGATAAGGGCAGTAGAAAGGGGCCGGAAACCATAAAGGCTAGTGAACAGCTCCCAAGAAACCCCAACCATCTAGTCGATAGAAACTGTGATAACGCCAAAACCTAAATCTGTGTTCGGACAACCAGTGATATTTAACCCTGTGATAATACCAAACATTAAATCTTCTGTGATAGCTTCTGTGGCAACTTTTAATCTGCTTGTTAGTCCGTCTACTCTACACCGTTATACACGTCCTATAGAAGTCGCTACTTTGTTATACATATTTTATATTTTACATATTATATTTACACCGATTTTAAACTGTGCACTGTAGACGTCCTGTTTTTAACTGTTAGTATTAAACTTATTTATGTACTACCCTGTTATGAAATTTATGCAAGCCAATTTAAACAACTCCCGAGCGGCGTATGATGTTTGGAGACGTACGGCCGCAGTCGGAGATGGGTAGGGCCTCGGGGCCAGGAATGTTTAAAGACGACTCGGGTAGAGTAGCCATTGTGGTGCTCAACGACACCCTATACGTAAAGAGGGTAAGCGCTGGGAAAAACTATGTCCGCATGCACCTAGAAGATATCGTGCTGTGCGCGTGCTACCTCCCACCAAACGATCCCTTGGAGGAAATGAGAGACGTTCTCGGGGAAATAATCCGGGAGCTAAGAGGGGCGAGGAAAGGCCGAGTTTTTCTGGCAGGCGATATGAACGCGGCCTCTACTACCTAGGGGGCGGCCGTTACAAACAGACGAGGTTGAGGAGATGCTGGCTACCCTGGACCTCGCCCCTCTGAATCGATCGAGGTAAGCGTCCCACCTACGAAAGAGGGCAAAGGAGATCAACAATAGACGTCACCTGCGCCAACGAGATAGCGGCACGGGACACTCGGGACTGGACGGTCGAAGAGGAGGAGACCCCCAGCGATCATAACTACATAACATGGAGATTGGAGACCGATGAGACCCTAGGGGGGTAGAGCTACTAGCATATGCGGACGATTTGACAATGGTAACAACTGATAGAAATCTCGAGGTGACGGCCAGGGTAACTAGCCAGACAACTAAAGACATCCAGGGGTGGATGGAAGACCGTGGACTGCAACTGGTAGGAGCAAAAACACAAGCTGCACTGATGACGGGAAGAAGAAAGCTTCCTCCTACCACGATAGAAGTAAAGGAAGCACAGGTGCCCTTGGCGAGGCATATTGACATCTTGGGGGCGAGGTTCGATAGGAGCCTAAAGTACATTGAGCACGTCAAGCGCGCAATCGAAAAAGCAACTAGTACGGCCACGCAAATACATAGACTCTATGGAACTGCGGGGGGCCGAGAGAGGGCAGAAGAAGAGTTCTGGCAGCGGCAGCTACCAACACGGTGCTATACGGATGCGAGGTGTGGGGGGAGAGGGCCCTTCAAACCCGCAAGGTGCGGGACAAGTTAGACGCCTTACAACGGAAAATGTCGATAACCATCGCATCGGCATACCGCACGATAGCAACCAAGGATCTGTTCGTAGTGGCGAGCACGCCACCTCTTAGTCTGATAGTAGAAGAACGAGTGACCGGGAGAAGGAGAACGGAAACCCTAGATATATGGCAGGAGAAGTGGGAGGAAAGAACTTCATGGACTAGGAAGCTGATAACGGACCTCAGGCCATGGGTCAGGTGGACGCATGGGGAAACCGACTACTGGCTGACACAGTTCCTGAGTGGGCACGGCGAAGTGGGAGCCTACTTACACAGAATTAAAAAAAGGGACAATGACAACTGCAGGGACTGCGATAACAGGGATACGGAGGGGCACGCAGTCTTTGAATGCCCGAGGGGACCCGATGGAAGACATGCATTGCACTAGGGGAAGTTTTGGAGCCAGAGAACATGATAAAGCTTATGTTGGCGAGTAGGACAAAATGGGAAACAATTGGCGAATACGTGAGGAAAGTAGTCCAAACAAGGGAAGAGGAGGCAAGAAAAAATCCGGCACCATGATGAACTAGAAAGATAAGATAAAGAAAGAATAAGATAAGCGCACTCCTGGAAGAATGCTCCGGTGATGCCCAGGGGTGGACGGCTTAGGAACAGAGGGAGAAGGGGTTTAGTGGGTGAGAGCCCCACACTACCCCCGCCGTTAGATCCAAAGCGGGGGTGTGCGGCAGGACATTTCCCCAATTCCCATGATTATTTATTTACAAAAAAGATAGCACGTTGCTGCGATAAGAACAGACGCGTTGGAGCCGTTTCGGTTTATATTATTATCATTATGATTCGGGCCGTCTGAATTTTATTACGCGCAGAGACCTGATTGTCCCGGGTTCATTTTGACATTTGGTTTCTAGAGGGCACCGGCGAGCATCCATAATAATAATAATAATAATAATAATAATAATAAACCTTAACAGAACTACACGCTCACAACATACTGTAATATCTCCACCAAAAACCCAAGCAACAACACAAATACAACCTCAAGAACAAAGAAACGCCATAAATACAAGTAACGCAACATGCACTACAAAGACAGGTCCACCCAATAAAGTTACACGTCCTAGCACAGTTAAAAAACGCAATACTCCTTCTCAGAAACAACCCACTCGTATACAACCCAAACGCAAAAACCTTGACAGCACTACTAGCTCACAAAATACTGCAATATCTTCACCAAAAACCCAAGCAACCACACAAATACAACCTCAAGAACAAAGAAACACCACAAATACAAGTAACACAACTTGCACTACAAAGACAGGTCCACCCAATAAAGTTACACGCCCTAGCACACTTAAAAAACACATAACTCCTTCTTCACAGAAACACACCACATTGTCACAACCCACTCGTATACAACCGAAGCGCAAAAACCTTAACAGCACCACAGGCTCACAAAATACTGCAATATCTCCACCAAAAACCCAAACAACCTCACAAATAAGACCTCAGGAACAAAGAAACACCATAAATACAATTAAAAAACACAAAACTCCTTCTTCACATAAACACACCACGTTATCACAACCCACTCGTATTCAACCCCAACGCAAAGCCAAAGAAACACTTACACAATAAACTCTATTTAATAAAATTACAGGAATTATTATAATGATATTTTTGTTTTGTTTTCTTCTTTCCTGATAGCGTTAACTATTGTGGCCATTAATAGCTATGTTGGTAAGTATGAATTACATACTATCCCTAGATTTCCAATGTGAGTGTGTGAATATTTATTTTATTTTTTATTTTTTTTTAGAACCCTACATAACTTTACCAAACACAGACACAGACACTAATCGTTACTTGATTTTAATCCGTGCGATTAGTTAACCAGGCTAGACCTGAGTTCTCACAAGAAACACCGACCATAATAATAATGACTTTTATTAGCTACTCACAACTGAATACATGCATACGATACAAAAAAAAAACAAATTCTGTATGCTAGGTAGCTAATTGGGCGAAGTTCGACTGCAGTATCAACAGAAACTGCATTCGCTCTTCCACTTAACCCATTTCCCAAATATACATATAATGTTAGAAACGAAAGACTATATGGCTTCTAAATAAAACAATATAAATTGGTGTGCATGGTTGCGGCACAACTTAAGAAAGATAGATGAATGCTGAGCTGACAAAGCGAGTTAATGAATGTGTGATTCGATATGAGGACTGAGAACTTGCTCATATAAAAAAGACCAAATTGACAACGAGTTTATTGCAACTGACGATCAAGTAAGAATAGTTGGACGTACTTTTTAATTTAAGAGGAGGCAATCTTTTACACGAGTCCGGCAAGGAGTTGTAAAGTTTCGCTATGTTGTAGCTAAAAGAGCGCTCATAGAGTGATGATTTATGCAATGGAGGGGTGATTAACGCAGCGTACCTACTATTTGAGCTCAGTCCGACCTTCTCATAGAG